TTTTTTTTTTTTTTTTTTTTTTTTTTTTTCATTTTATCAGTAGGACCCTCGAAACTGCCGTGAATTTCAGATATGTTGCTAAGACGCACGAGTAACTTCGTTAAGCTTCGTAAATCTATCCAAAGTCCACTCGAACGTTTTGCACCCAATAAAATTTGATTCAATCATACTTTATACTGGCAATGTCAAAGTGTACACTAAACGAAACGGACTGTAAAATAAATCTGTTCGAATTGTCTGCAGGTTCACATAGAAATTAGATTCGAAAAAGGCGAACACGGTGACGGCGATCCATTCGATGGACCCGGAGGCACTTTGGCTCACGCTTATTTCCCAGTCTACGGCGGGGACGCCCACTTCGACGACACGGAGCATTGGACTATCAACAGCTACCGAGGAACCAATCTCTTCCAGGTCGCCGCTCACGAATTTGGTCACTCTCTTGGACTTAGTCACAGCGATATTAAATCTGCCCTTATGGCGCCTTTCTATCGAGGCTACGATCCCAACTTTATGCTAGACAGCGACGATATACAGGGTATCCAGGTTAGTATATTTATTTATTTTTTTTTTTCACTCTTATTCATATCAGTCGTCCATACTAATCGAATTGTATGTCCGATATAATCATTTAATGCACAATTTTAGGCCCTCTACGGCCCAAAAACCGAAGACGAAGGCACCGGAACTAAACATCACCGAACTACCGTCTCTCCAAATGGAGAGGAGGATCCTCTGCTGTGCACCGACCCTAAGATAGACACTATGTTCAATTCTGCCGAAGGGCATACTTATGCCTTCAAAGGTATTAAATATTTAATTTAGAGAGAGAGAGAGAGAGAGAGAGAGAGAGAGAGAGAGAGAGAGAGAACATTTGGAATTTGTCTTTGAACTTTAATATCTTGACACTGGATGAAGTTACAATGAATATTGAATTTATTTTGTTTCTTGTCTGTCAATTAAATTTTCTATGTCATGACGTTTTTTCTAGTATCCGAATCTTACGAATTTTCCTTGAACGTCAAATGAACGAGAATCGAAGCTTGAATAAAAAAAAAAAAAAAAAAAAAAAAAAAAAAAAAAAAAAAAAAAAAAAAAAAAAAAAAAAAAAAAAAAAAAAAAAAAGATTCTCTGAAACTAACAAAACTAAATGATATCGGAAAATGAAGCATCCGGTCCATTAAGTGATCGATGAAGTAGGAATTATTCCTACGTGATGGAATGCATTAATCGTTTTAACGTAAACGCGTGACTCTGTCCCATGCTGATAATGATGCAATCTGTTCTCAGACGAGCATTACTGGAAACTTACGGCAGATGGAGTTGCTAGCGGGTATCCACGACTCATAAGTAATTCGTGGAAAGGACTTCCTGGAAAAATCGATGCCGCCTTCACTTACAAAAATGGAAAAACTTATTTCTTCAAGGTACTCGTGCTCGACTCGATGTATCTGACTTGAATCGTCGCTTTGCCCGAGTAATAGGTCAAAACGGAACAATGTTTTTTTTTTGCTTCTCAGGGTTCGAAATACTGGAGGTTCGTGGGTAAACGAATGGACGGCGAATATCCAAAGGAAATAAGTGAAGGATTCACGGGGATACCCGACAACATCGATGCAGCGACAGTCTGGACAGGAAACGGCAAGATCTACTTCTACAAGGGCACCAAATTCTGGAGATTCGACCCGGCCCAGAGGCCACCCGTTAAGAGCACTTATCCTAAATTGATCTCGAACTGGGAAGGACTTCCGGATAACCTAGATGCCGCACTTACCTACAATGGGTACACGTATTTCTTCAAAGGCGGCGCCTACTATCGATTCAACGACAGAACGTTTTCTGTGAGTCGATATAAATCTGTTTTCTTCATTTATTTTTAGCAATTTTACAAGATTCGGTATATATTGGTTGTGCTGTATGGGGAGTTAGAGTAAATCGAACAGTAAACAGGATAAGGATAAGAGCTAATCCATAAAATTATATATGCAAAGTTTCATGAGAAACAATAATACAGAGCTTACATTTAGAAAGCAGCATATCCCTATGTTAAATGAGACTGTGCCGAAGAAAGGTCATGGCTACAATTTTGCAAGGTGAACGACCAGCTTCGATCAAGGTGAACCGCAGAAAGATTTTAGAACATTTAGCATCGAAGCATTGGAATAATAATGCAATTTGATTTTGAACTGGTTCAACCTGTTTCCTACAATCTCAAGTATATCAGCCCATTATTCCAATCCTAACAATACCAGCGGTATTATTAAACGAAACACATTTTGGTATTATTCAAATAAAAAGTATGGGAGGATCAGCCGAAGCTTTCTATGCCTATATATCTATATATACCTATATCGTAAATAGAGAGTGATGAAGGGAAATGAAAAAGTATACGATTTGGGAGTCAATTCGGTTGGGAAAATATACTTTTATGGAGGTTCAGCTGTATCTTACAAGTTTATCCAATCTGGAGGATAAGTAATGAATCATCCAAATGTCACAAACAATTGTAAATCTAATTACTGAAATTATGATATATATATAGATCTTATCAATATTATCAAAATTTTCAAAAAACTTTTCATTCACTTACAAGGATTTTCAATCTTCAATTTCTTTTTAGGTGGACCTTGCTGATCCTGCTTTTCCAAGGGCTAGTGGGTACTGGTGGTTCGGATGCAGATCGGCGAGCAAAGGGACCTTAGGTAATGTCCAATGGCTTGGTGAATTACCTTCCGAAACAACAATTTTGTCTGGAAGTCTGGAAGAGATCGGCGGCAATCTTGTTGGCGGTTCCGAAGTCCATGGTGACGTAGGCGACATCATTTTAGATGCAGGTACTTGAGCTTTGATCGATTGGCAATCCTGCGAGATCAAGATTTTCTATACAATGAAGTTTGAAAATTCAAAGCCATGCTACCATCAATTTCTATTGATATAATGCCATAAATGTTCAATGATCGAATGTAGTATTTGTTTTTTTACACTCATATTTTCTTTAATGACCGAAGTTCAATTTACTTGGACAATTTGAAGGAAAAAAAAGAAAAGCTTTACAACAGATTTCATTTTTAATTACAAGCACTCGTCTTTGATACCGCTCTTATTATTTTGCAATTGGTTCTTGCGTTGATTATATTTTTATTATACTTTTTCACGATTACTAAAATACAAAAAAAAAAGCCCATACAAATTTAACACGATAGAAATAGTAGCGATTGCCTGGAATTTTCAATTTGTCATTGTGAAAATTATTTTTCCAAAATTTTTAACTCTTCTAAGCAATTTTTGGAAAACAGGAGAATCAAAAAGTTTGGTGTCTCGTACACCTGGCTATTACTAGGGCTAGATCCGGGGGTGAGATATGCATGCCGACTTGATTTCCACAAAAACATGAAAAACCAATTTGACGAGGACTTTTAGTAAATCGAACCTTCGCTAAATTGAATACAATATAAATTCCTCACAATTGAATAGCGCAATCAACAGTTTTCGTGGGCAAAGCCGATGACTTCGTTTACCTTGAAATTGTTTATTGCGCTAACTAAATTACACGTGTGTAACAGCAACGAGACGTCACAACACTTTACACACTGACGACAATTACCTCACGTTGCATCGTGTTTCCGGTTTTCCTTGAGTTTACTGCATCACGCCATAAAGTCATCTCGGACATGATAAAACGGTTGGTACAATTGAGGAAGATGCTCATGATGCAAATAGCTTGAATTCTGAATAAATTAGACACGGTACTCTTTTTTTCCTAAATATTGGATAAAGCAAAGATACGGAATTGCACTTGAACAAGATTACATCAGTTTCCATATTCCATTACACGTTTATCCATTATAGCCTAAAACGTTATTAAATTCACCACTAAATATAAATTCCATATAAATTGTATCCAGCGAAGAAAATTTCGACTGAATTTCACTTGGCTGCGACAAGGTGTCTTTTTTAACCTATAAATACATTCGGTCGATAACGAACAAATGACTGTATTTATTTTTTCTCTATTCAATGCCGATGACGTCATTTGCAAAATATGCCACGTAGTGAAAAGCGTGCGTATCGCACTACCACGGAACAAAGGACGATTTCGCACAAAGCGACAAAGCAAAATAATCCGGCACGGTGATGGCTATACTAACCTGGCCCAACACTCAAACAACATATTCAATCGTACAATAATTTTTTTTAATAATCGAAGCGACTAACTGCAAAGCACAAAGCAAACAAGACTCCACTCACAGTCAATCGCTTAACCCTGTCTTCGTTAAAGTCGTTAAACTCATTAAATTCATTAATTTCATTCATTTCATTCATTTGACATTGTATACGTTGTTACCGTGCAATCGCAGAGTTTTCATTGCTTTTGTCCATCGAACGAAAACCACTCCTACGTACTGACGGGTAAGTCCAGCTGTGACGAGTTCTGGTAGAGAAAATTTTGGATTTTTTGCAATTTTATACAATCGTAGAAAATCCCTAGAGGGGGGGGACCTCGGGTAATAATTTTGAATTTCTAGACATTCCACGAGATTAACATCGTTTTGACGCGACTATCGTGATAATTTATTTAAAACTCAAAAATAAAAAATTGAATCCGATAATTCATAAATTCGTACTTGAGTGTTGGACTGACGATTACAAAAATGTACCTAAACTATTGTCAACTTGACAAAACGTATTGTCAACGGTAATAAAAAAAAAAAATTTAAAAAAAAAAAAAGAAAGTTGTATTCATAACTAAAATTTCAAAACTACCGTCCGAGGTACCCGATCCCACTGCCATTAAAATCATCTAGCCCGAAGTATCATTAGCCAGGACAGGCGATGACAATGATTTTGTAAAGTGAAGTCAAAAGCTCGAGAAATTTGCCGTCGTTGGGAGAAAGCCAAAAAGGTTGTTGTAAAAATGCATAACGTTAGAAAGGAATCGCCAAAGAGTCGCCGTCGTCGAATCCAGAATCAAAACAGAGTAAATATTCTAGGCTAAGTTTTACCTTGTTTCTACTTTTTTATTTATCATTATTTTTCCTCATGATTATTGCATCCTTAATTTCATCGTAGTGGTACGGTTGTGGTTTTATCGCTACTCCTTTCCTCTTTTCTTCTCTCTTTTCTTGCTATTATATTTCACGATGTCCCTGCTGCATTTCTCATTTGTTTCATCCAGACGCATAACTGTATAGCATCATTGTAAACAAATTTTTGTCGCTTTACACAAAATTACTATTAAATGCTATTTCCAGTTGTTTAAAAACAAAGACAGAATCGATTGTTTCAATCTTAATATTTAATTTGACATTTTTTCTATGAATTTTTTATACAATTTATATAGCTAATTAATATTTATTATTAACGATGTAGACTCATTGAGATCATTGCTGTTTCAATGTTTTTTTTTTTTTTTTTTTTTTTTCCTAAAAAATGAAAATATCGAATAGACAAGGCCATGCACGTCTAGTCGACATTTTCATTACTTTAACAATGAAGTAGAAAATCATCGTTAACCCCCATGTCAACAATCGCAAGCATACAATGTAAAATGTACAGCGTACAAGCAAATGACAGTCGTGGCCATACATATGATAATTAAATTAAAAATTCATTATTACTTTATTAATATTTTACATCGATGTGTCACAATGAAATACGATGCTGTACATTTTATCCTACGAATTTAAGTTCAACAATCGATACTTACTATAGAAATTTGTAATCGAGTGTCGATCATTGACATTGGGCTTTTTCTAATTGAAGAATTGAAATCATACAGATGACAATCGTGAAGATTGAGAGGCACTAGTCATTGCATGATTTTTGTTTTTAAAATTTTTATTGACGTACACGTATGTGGTGGAACATCAGACGATGGCGCATAACCGCGTAGACAGTAAAACACATGATGAAGAAAGAAACCAGTACACTAGATGCATGGTTAAAACATGGCGGATGGCGGTTATGTCGTTTGGAACTTACTCTAATTTTTAAAAACGTATCTTGTTCTTTATCTTACCCTCTAACTGGCACGTATCAATTCCAGCATCTCGCATACTCCTCGCAAAGCTGCTATAACTGTAACATAAAGATCCAATGTACCTGAACTTCATAGAGGTCCAAGAATGAGATTTCTGAATCTCTTACAAGTTATACGATCTGTGATAGTAATCTTTGAAATTTAACATGTTTATCTTTCATATGAAACATTTCCTTTTCATTGTATTATAATTTTTAATAATTCGCGAAAATAAAAGTTGAACTCTTGGAAGGATAAAGTAGGATCAAAAATATTTAATTAATCGCTAGCTCTGGCGATTCGGTATACCATTTTGTATGGTAATCTTCTTCGAGATCTTTAGAAAAGATACGAAGTCATTTTCCCAAAAATTTTCTTTTTATTTAGTACTTCATATTCTCCACGTGGGAATCGAGTGTCATTTTTGGTAAAATTGAAAAAAAGTAACTGTAGTTATGGTAAAAGCTTAGAAGATGGAAAGTGAGCTTTTTCTAATTGAAAAAGTTTGGAACTCTCTCTTTAATCCAAATTATCCTTATCCACGTTTTTTTTCCTTTTTCCACATAGTTTCATTAAAAATGTTGATTCTTTATTATTTTGCTGCACGTGTCTTATCGTTATCTTTTTATGTTATTTATTAATGCACGAACCTATTTAGAATCCATTAGAAATGCGGCATGTTTCTTTCACGTTTCTTTTTATTTTTTTAAAATTTCCCTAGTAGTGAAACATACATACGAAAATTATGTTCGTTGTTATTATAATTTTTTTTTAATTAGATTATTTATTTCATCGACTTACTGCAAAAAAGTTAAATAAAAGTTACGTAATGGTTATCGTTATCTTGAATGCTAGACATATATTTCTAATAAAATGAAACTAACATTGGCAATGCACAATGCGCGATTAATACATTAATGCATAACTCATTGAGAATAACAGCGAACATGCAGATTCTACTGAAAATATAAATTTTCACTCGAAATTTCTAACTTTTAAGCCTGGTTCACGTCTCTAATTTGGACTTTGAAATCGATCATAAATGTAGTAATTACTTGCACTATGAAATTATCAAGACATAAAGTAACTTTTAGGAATGACGTAACAGGTACTTCAAAAAAATATTCGAGTTTGGCCCACCTAATTGCTAAAAATGGATCATGTGAGCCAAGTCTGATTAACATTATCCAGTTTGTTTTTACCACTTATCCAAAATATCCTTTTTCCAATCGGCGTCAGACATGTTGGACGTTACGAGTATTTACCAGGTTCGTTAGAAATAAAAATTTGTATCAAAAGTATTCGCAGAACGACCTTACCTCTCATCCTGCAAACTGATGATAAAAACTCGAAACGTTCACACTTAATGACGCAACCGTCTCGTTGAAACTTCCGACGAATTTAATCCGGGAAAAATCGTGCTTTCCAGAGGATGCCACCTTTCGTTTTGGATCGTACGGATTCGAAAGAAAGTGAGCCAATCAAATACGGGCCCACGGCCTCATAGAAGTGCCACGAACGATCAAACCGAAAACTAGAAAGAATAAAGAGTGCGATTGAACAGGCCGAGAAAGAGGGAAAGGGAGGAAAGTTCCAAACAATAGCATTCGCTGTACCTACGTGTCGCGCCATTTTGTCCCATACTCGTGCTTCGCGGAACGCAGCGCCATCGTGCGGTGACAGCACGAAACAAACGTACGAAAGACCAATGACAATACTTCGCGGCATAGCGCGCAGCGAAGGAAATAAAAGAACGCTACGATTTTGAATGAAAATCTACAGGAGGCACCGACGATGAGCTGGCAACGTTTTCGAATCGAGATGCTGCCGGTTCAACTGCCGGGATCAGTGTCGCAGAAGACAGTGCCTACTTGCGTTTGTTCTTCATCGTTGCGTCTAGTCTCATCGCCAGGTTCGTCGTTGCTACATAGACGAGAGCGGACCATGAGAAAATTCTCTAGACCCAGTTCGACGAGTTAACCACCGTCGGCTAGGGAATTTTTGTTTGCCAAAGTCACGACTCGGTTACGGAGATGTCTTCCAACTCAGCCATTCCAGTGCATTCCAGCTACACGAACGTCCGGGAAACATGAACGCAGCAAGTACATCTACGCTCTGAAAAGTGAATTGCGATGGCAAGTGCGGTACCGTATGACCAATCTGAACTGCTGATACACGTGACGTCATACTCGATTGAGAGATATGGGACTGGTATGTGAAATTACGTGATCTGTCTTAATATCAGATACTGATATCTTAGGAAATTAACTGACCCAGTGCATAACCACATTTAACTGCGAATCATCAGCCGAGCTAGTTAAATATTTATATAAATTAAAGTAAAAATATTTCTGTGCTAAGGTGGAAGACATACTCGAAAGCTCATTCAGGTTAGTTACGATCGAAGCGCCACCGACGGGAAAATTGCAAGGCACTTGGTGTGGATGTGTGTACGCGTGCAACTGTACGAATATGTAATGTAATGTAATGTAATGTATGTGTGTTGTTAGTCCAAGGGATTCCCAGTGGTTTTTGAATAATGGTCAAAATAATAGTTTGATGATAGAAGCCTTATGACATTTCCAGTATCCATAAATATTCCAGCGTCATATCGTCGAATCTCTACGTTGTATCGTATGTCCAATTCTACAACTTGCCTCAGTAATGAATTTCAAGAAGTATCGCAGAGATTTTTCCAAATTTCAAATCCACTTGAAAAAACGATTTAACTAATCCATTGAATGTCACAGTCGAGTAAACTTTGAAATATTCGTCATTGTTTGACTCTTCTTTTTATAAAGACACCGATAGAGTTAAGATTATAGTAAATTAACGCATGAGTAGAAAAGTTGAAAATATAATTTTAATATTACGCTCCTTTCGATGTTACGCGTTTTTCTTTCTCGCACGAATGCGTTGGTCCGATAAAGATTACTAATCGACCTTAACTCCAGAACAGCACAGACTTTTGACATCAACGCAGAGATCACACGTTTATTTCGTCAGAAAACGGCTTACAAATTGCAATGTAACTCTGTAGCGGATCGAGTAACGTAAATGAACGAATCACGTGTGTCTCAGATGCATGTGCGATGCTCTAGAGTTAAGCGTTGGAAATTCATGCCTAAAAGCAATCGACGTTCGATCATCCTTGAAACCTGTGTTCATCACTTTTATAAATTAAAAAAAAAATGAGGTGATAAAATATGCTAAAGCATACGCAATATTCCGTCTGACAAGAACTGCGTATCGTTAGCTATATACTCGTAGTATAGTAACGCGCATAAAAATTTTCTTTAAGTTTTGATGTATTAGCAGATGTAAAAAGTAGCGTTGAAAGTGAAATCGATAGGTTAAAAATTCTAAGCAGTTATGGCGAAGATAATTATCCGAAATAGAAGCTTGAGTTTTAATAGAAAACAATTAAATGGCACAAAATGATTTCTCTTCCACACTGCCTCCGTGAAGTAAACATAACCTCCTTGTCTCAGCTCTTCTCAATGACCGAAGTAATAATGTATCGTATTTCCTAAGGCGAAGGCTTACCAGCAATTATTTCTTGCTACGATTACTTTGTTAACAGACTGCCGTATCGACAAGGAACAATTAACGGAACTGTCGGACATTTAATTTGCGTTTTAATTTACGTCATCAAACTTACTATTTAATATTATTAGCATGTGCATTTTCGTCTTTAGACGCGCACGTGGAGCGACTTTGCGACATGACAGTAAGGAACAAATTGGGCTACAAGCTCGAACGACGATAAGATGTGCGAGTGGCGTTATAAATATTGTAAACACAAGCCTGCGAAAATTTCTTAACGTTATTTCGCATACAAACTTGTGGACGCCTTGAGAATTTGTATTACGTAATTCAGGGTCTCCGCCCATAACGTTACCTTGTGTATGAGAGTGCCTTAGAGAATATTTTTGTAATTAATAGGCTAATTGAGTGCTCTCGAGATCACGAAGCGCCTACTGTAAGGTACATCTAACTCTTATTTTTGTTCTCTCTCGATTACACTGGGCCCTAATCAGCCCTTTTCTTATCCTGGATATTGAATTTTTATATTTAATAGATAATCTTGCTCGTTAAGATAAGAATTAATGCCAATATCTTCTTTGAACGGGGCACGCGCTTCGTCCCTGGATTTCACAATTGTTCTTTGCACTTTGAGAATCTTCATGTGAATGGCCGTCCCTGGCTTGTAGAAAATTAAGAATTTCTTCGACTGATTGTGAGAGGAACCGTTTGAACTTTGTTAAACTTCTTACCGAACGATATTCCAGGGACGTAAGAACGTGTTTTCTGATTATGCCTAATGTTAAGCGTTAATACCTCTACTTCCTTATGTCATAGTTACTTATTAATTGCGTTGTCGATGTTGCTGTATTATTTTTACTTGAATTGTTTATAATTAGTACTTACTAGCCCTAAGGATTATCTAGTTGTTCTCTATTTTATTTCTCTTCTCTATTCTCTTCTTTTCGGGAACACGAAAGGACGGTGCCTTGTACCCGCGATTCGCCAATATTTATTTTTTAATAAACAATTTATATAAAATTCACGCTTAGTACGTTCTTTGAGAACTTTGTATTTAATTTTTTTAAATAATTCCTGAATCCGTATTCAGATATTACAGTTTCAAAGTGTGCAAATCAATTGTGACATAATGCACGTACATGCTACGTCGATCAGTAATGTAAAGTTTGTTATGAAATTTATCATATTCCTTCACCTTTGCCTCTATGCCTTTTATTAAATGTCCCAGACAACACGTGTATCCAAAAGTCGTCTTTGAGATGCCTTAAAGATAATTTCTGTTACTTTAGACGCTCTAAGACGACTTTTGGATATTTTGTATTGTCCGGGATATTATACATACGTAAATTATAAAAGGCGAATGGATATTGATTACAGTACATTTTAATATATAATTTCATTGGTCTCGTTGTAAGACATTCGTATTCGACACTCCTGGAACGACCTAACGATATATACCATTGATCGTTATATATATTTCTTATCAAATGAAATTCTCTATATAATTATTTGTACAACTTTAGACACACGTAGAAATCGAATTGACAACTCGTGATAAAAATAGAAAAGACGTATGAGGAAGTATTTGATAAATTTATTGATACTCATTTTTCGAGCTCACTTAGAAATGTTTTAGCAAATATGCACTATAACGTTATAGGTTGCAAGCGTTAATTGTCGTTACACGTTAATTCGAAAATGGTCGCACGACGTGACTCAGTTACACTACTCTAGAGGATTTTTAAACCGAGTTAAAAATCTGCTGGGCAGTCCCAAATCTTTGGAAAATAAATTGTTGTAACAAATAATCCGTTTTCAATGACAGTATGGTACAAGGACTCTTTTCATGTTGCTTTATGAAGTCAGGATGTCTAATTTTTCATATTGAAACTAGCCAAGCCATGGCATCCATTCCTGACTCATAACATCTACATTGTAATATATTCACCAAGCTCATATATGTATGTATGAATAAAATTACATTTATTTTAAATTATTGTTGTACTTTAATTTATGGTTAAAGGGAACTGCATTGCGGATTTATTGTATACACACTGAGGGCAGGATCATTAGAATTGTATTACTGCATGAAAACTTACCAATTTTGGTCCTTGCAGATTCCAATTTTTTAATTCAGGAATAGAAACATGAGCATCCATCTCTTAAGAAGGAGATTGATGTTTACAACTTATTAGAAAGTTATCGATGCATATTGACAGTCTCCTTTGTTTTTTTATTTATTTTTTTTTTTTCAAATAAATTAGCATTAGTCTTTCGCCGGACTTTAGACTTTTTGCCAACTGGTCTCAGAATTTTGAGTTGAGTTCACAGGGAAGATCTCAAAAACGGGATGGCCTAGGGCAATCTGAAAGTAAACAGAGAAAAGGAATCGCGTGAGCACAGGTTTGAAAAAACAGTACAAAATGAATATGCGCAGACTGTAACTCAAGTTTGCTTTTGATTATGTGTAAATGATTTTTGATGATTTTTTAGATGATTTTGATAGATGATAAAGCGGTTAAAAACTCAGTGAGTCAAAAACAATTAAAGAGATTAGGTACTTGCCTAGGATCAGATCAGTCATACGTGTATAAAAGATTGCTAATAATTTTATAAATTAAAATATTTTTAATTTCGAAAATATATTAAGGTATTTAGAGGTTTCGAAATCGACGTGTGTTTATAGGGCTTCGCACACAAAATTTCCATAAGCATAAAATAAGGTGTAGACCAATCAGAGCAGGTTTATAACTCCGTAAAATATTATGGACGGCTCATTGTCCTAAATCTTACGTTATACTTACGGAAGTTTTATATATAAATTTTATATATAAAACACCATATATAAGTTTTATATAAAAAACAAAGAGTTCAGACGGGATCCATCGGTGAAGAAATAGTGAGAAGAGGATAGAAGTCTACTAATTAAAAAGGTGAAAGAACTGCGAGGATACAATTTTGAGAGTTTTTGGTGGTTCTACCAAAGGAGCTATTGACTTCTATATTAAAAGTTTAAGCTGGGTAATCATACTGACAATAAAGAGAACAATTCTATATAATAATCTTCTATTGACTTGATTCTGTCTAGCGGCACATCATATCTCCTTGATTTACTCCGAAATTAAAATTTAAAATACAATATATGCGACCCCTCGTGGTAGAATTGGTAACATATCGACCTCGGTCGATAATGTAGAAACCACAGAATCTTCTCATCGTTATAACCGATTGGACATGCAGAGATGAGCTGGCGGCGGACGTGGTTCCTTACGTCTAACCCACTGAGCTTGCTCGATGGAAAAGCATGGAGATTGTAGCATTGAATATCGTCCCTCGGAACTGTTATTAAAGAATTCGCATTAGTTCGAATTTTCGCCGATAAGAAGGCAGCACCTCCTGGGCATGCTAAGTGGCTGATCATCTTTGAAGGAACGAGTGAACTTTTGCTGTTGAAAAAGGAATCCGATAATGCTTAAAAAATGACAATTCATAATTTTACAGAAAATATTCAAATTTTGTAAAAACTACGTATGTTGGAGGTTATGCAATGAAAATAGCAGAGGTTTCAGCACATAGCAAAGAAATTCAGAAGAAAAAAACTCGGAAAATTTGTGATAATCTTAGAAACGGTCTGGTTATAGTTTTTCAAAGAAATGTTTTCACCAGGAAAACTAGTGATTATTTGTGAAGCGTGTGGTATACACGAGACAGAAACATACGAATTTTTATCTTTCCATTTTCAAGGTTGCGCATATGTCCAAAATCCTTTAATGGAATATAACTAGATTACAGCCAACGTATATCGGGAAGCCCATTCATCTAAGTAAGTTCCGGAAAGTTAGTAGTTCCTATAAAAGGTGAAAAATAAGGCAGATGTGGATATGAAGAGACTTTAATGTGGTAGTTAACACTGCTATATTAACTTAATACTCTAGAAGCGCTATTACAAAAAGAAAATTATAATAAGTAACTTCAACTTTTAACCAGGTGTGGCTTGATAGAGTTTAATTATTTTCGATTCGTCAAAAAATACATTTTACTTATCGACCGAATACAGCTGTACACTCTATGTATTTTCATCAGTTCATCAAAAATTTGCCGTAATAAAAAATAAATATTTAATTTAAAAAAAATATAATTTTGTTTCAATGACAAAGCATTAACCGATAAAATACTCACGGTTGAATATTAAACCTGCAGTAAGAATGCCGGCTGTTCTAAATACTCACAAGAAAAAATGTAGACAGTTTACTGTAATGCATTAAACACGGCTAGTCTTCAATATTTAATGGCTAAGTAGCAATGCAACTGAACGGCCACAACGTCCCAGTTTCAATTTTCTATTAAATCCCATTTTTGCTTAATGTAAAATATTGGAGGACAACGGCTAATAGTAACACACAGAATATACAGGGTTGGAGGAACCTCGAATTCAGAGTTATATACATATTTTCGATGTAAAAGCACATATTCTCAATGTAAAATGTCGTAAGACTCGAATTCTTGGTCTCGATATAACCACATTATACGCAGAAAAACTCAGATGGTTCAACCAACCCGATTCACTGACGTGTATGGTAAAGGCGAAACAACACAATGCACTTCTGACTTCACGCGATCGCATTACCATCCAAGCTGAGACGCGACTAGAATGCAGGAAACGACAATTCAACAGAGTTCGTCCTCGCTTCCACAGTGTCTGTTTCTACCTGAGACCGTCTGCTTGCACGCGCCTAAGGAAGCACGTACGTGTATACATTGTCAAGAAAACTACGTCCTCGCCATATACCGTCACCGTGTGTGGACGCAGAGGAGCCAATCGCGCATGCGCCTGACAGGTAAAGCCTTGCGCCTTGTAAAAGCAACAAGTAGTCTTTGGTCCTTTTCCTTTCAAATTTCAAAGATCCCGCAGTCGAAGTTCGGTTGCTGGTCATTGGTTGATCGCAAGACAGCCAATGCGATAGGTAGTTTTGAGGTGAGTGGTCGAGAGTGGAAGGAAATAAAAAAGTAAAACCCGCCAAGGAAGAAGGTAGTGCGAGACTTTCTTCGTTGTAGCCGGCAATCGGGATGCTACGCAGCCCTGTCGTAGATTGCCGCCGTGTCGTGCGTGGCTGCCTATGTGTACTGATATACGCCAATGAAGAGTGGTACTGAGGTGCGGCGTGGCTTCTCCGTTCAGAACGAGTTGCAGCTTTCGTTGCTGTTACCTGCTCGAGTCCAGCAGTCGTGTCGCGACTCGCGTGCAATGTTGTGTGTTCGTTCGCGATTGGTGTGAACGTGTAGCCTTGACGGGCGCCAACGATCCAGCTAGCCAGCCGGCCAGCCAACACAATACGTACCTAGTTACATGGGACGTCTAGGTGTGGATAAAATACACCTAGATTGAATTCTCACGCTTTGAACTACGTTGAGACGTTTAAAGCCTGCAGGATTCTGACCGACCGGCGGTAATAAGAGAATCGACTGGACTCGGTCGGAAAGACGTTTCCATCCGGTAAACAGGACTCAGTCTGCGGGACAATTGGATATTTCTATTATGCTACCCAGGTACGGTGATTGTCCGTACGGATGTTCCTTGTGGTAGAATTGTGTCTCGTACACCATGTCCACGATCGACGTGGTTCGTCAGGCTGCCCAGCAATCCAGTGTCAATACTCCTGACGAGGACGATGAGCACCACGGGTAAATTATATACCTTTACAAATTGTATAAAGGCCTGCACCAAAATGCGTTTATTATTTTTTTCCCGTTAAACGAGTCTAATAGTACGATATGTATTAGAACTGAAAATCTTGATATCCACCCTCTCTTAAGAGAGCATGCTTTTGGTCCTTCAGATATTTTCGAGGATTAGGGTATGTACCACAAGGGTCGAACCCTCGAGTCTTAAGGCTTGGAATCCTCCTCTGCGCGTCATCTTGACAACGTCGTACCACCCCGAGTCCGTTCAACTCGCGCGAACCATGAAGAGCGAAGAGTAAAGGCGTGCTCTCAACGCTCATCCAATGTCAATGACTGCTCCTTGCGAGGTTGACCTCTCTCTATTCGCCACGGCATCTTCCCTTCTTCTCGTGAGGCTTTCTCGATGCTGAATGGACACGATGCCAACTCATTTTCGAGCGTTTCTCCCTTCGTTTCTTGCCCAGCCGTTTGACCTTGGACTATCGGAACACGGAAAACTTCCAAGTAGGTTGCCGCCAATCGGATCCGTCCTGGCGTCTCGCTGGCGCGTTCGGTAAGGAGCCTGCCGCGAGTGCATAAGAGAACATATACTCGCTTACTCGTATCACAACCATACCTGTAATACGTATATGCACTGTAGACATTTTGCTGCACGTTTGTATGCGCTAATGAAAATGGCACATAAATGTGCATAGATTGACTTCCCGTCGCTTCGCGAAACTAACCATAAACCTTAAGGTTGAATAACGGTACTTCTATAATACATCGTACGTATTGCCATTGCAGTTCTCTCCTCGAAACTTCGTGGTGCAGTTGCATTTACAGGCTTTGTATCGTATAGTCACCGGAAATCACGAACCTGTCCTGACTGGTTATGATACACACTGGACAGTTCTAAACGGAATCTAGTAGGACGTTACTCGTAGAAGTAATCACGAAATTAATGATTGAGCTTAATACTCGCTGTTGAGATATAAACAAATCGTTCGGATTTGTACGAATGACACCAGTATAATTATATACATAGTCAGCCCACGCTTCAATGTGTTTTCTTGACAGTCCGCAAACAATGCAATGCTTAGCGAATCGTGGCATTCTATGAAATCACGAAAATTTATGCTGAAATGGAGAAATAAAATATTGTTCAGTGCGAAATACATTCAAATGCATAGTCTTTGACAATAATTGTATGCAGGACAAGGAGATACTTGCTAAGGATTGCGTTGTTTACCAACTGTCAAAAAAACACATTGAACTCATGGACAGATTATAACGAATAGCTCCACTCCACATGAAACGTGCTGTGCGTAATCATTCTTGGCTGCGAAAAACTTTTTTTTTTATCGCGTGAAATTCTTACGCAATACCCATTTAATCTACGAACGCTGCCAGATATCAATCTGTAAATACAGCATGTAAACACTGCGAAGTAACGAGCGCGAGATTATTTGCTAGAACGGAACCCAGCGTTGTTCCAATGGACGTGGATAAGGAAACCGGTCGCCGCGGATCATCCTGTACACCCACAGGAGAAACCGATCGTCAATTCTCTTAGTCGTGGCTCTCTCGACTCTTCGCTCTCTTTGTATCTTACAAAAGTGGCCTACGCCTCCGGCATAAGCACTGCATATATACATATATACTAGAGACAGCTACTTCGAAGCGATCTACAGTGATGCATGTAAAAGAAAGAGAGAGACTCCGGCCCACGTTATGGAAACGTTGTAAGGAGTATACCTAGTTGTTGCGGTAAGAAGCAGACTGTAGATACGGGTAACTCGTGCGAGGTAGACAGTAAACAACTGAGTGACATAGGTAAAGAAGTATCAGACAGAGATAGAGAAAACTAGGAGAAACTGTATAAGCTTAGAATAAGGAGTAGGCAGCAGTCGATATATACTTCCAAAGTCCCACTCGGGTGACTCAAGGAGTCGTAGGCTCCGGTGCAAGTGGCAGCTCTCCTTACGAAGTGCGTCCTGCGACCTACGGCCGTTATGGTCATGCCCGATGCCGCCTCGTGGTATCGCGGAGCGGCAGTAGTCGGCAGGACGGCGCATCGGTGCACGTGCACGGCAGTGGCTCGATGTACGAGGGGCACGCCGGACGTAGACGAAGGATGCTGGCTGGAGAGAAAGGTCTCGGAGAGACGTAGAGAGACGTCGAGTGCGAGAGAGAGAGAGAGGGAGGATCGTCGACTACGCAGGGAGGGAGAATCGGGATTGGGAATACCTACGCTACCTTAAGTCACGAAACGCCCCCGCTATGGGTCCCTCTGTACCTACTACAGCGACTCGGCCAAGCCACAGTTCCGTCGGATCGCACGGTTAAACCGATACGCCGATGTCGTATTCCCCTATTTCGGCACGACGCCGCTATTAACTACCGAGACGGCGAAACGCGGCTTAAGGTCTCGAGACTCTTGGCGCGGCACTACCCGCGCGATCACCTGACCGACAATGACACTGTCATTTGGACTGGTATTGTCAGTGGAAAGTTTTAGGCGATAGAATATCGGACACTTTACTGGAGCTTCGATCGAATTCGGTTCGGTTGGGAAATCTTTGAACGAGGAAGGTGAAGCTGGCGAATCGCGTTTTTTCAGGAGAACGAAGAACGAGATTCAGTATACCAGGAGACGCGGACAGTTCAAGTCGACGGCCGAGAACTCTGCTACTCAGGGCCGTAAGTGCGCGAGATGCGGTGCCCTCTTTGCTAGGTTTCATAATACTGGGGCACAGTGCCCCCGATGCAGGCAACGAGTGTGCCAGCAGTGTCGAGAGAACAACAGAGCCCAAGGCGACAAGGGAAACTTCTTTAACGACTGGATTTGCTCCGAGTGCTATGAACTATCGTGAGTTATACTTCATTTACTTTGTTTTCCTTTCTATTATACGAAAATTAATACTGTCACTCGACTCCTAAACTTCACTTCACGGAATACATGCCCATTTTCAGTGAGCTCCGTGTCGTCAGGGACGGCTGGATGATCGATGGCGACAGTAAGAAAACTGTCGGAAGGAAGTCCTCACCCTTAGATATATTGAAACGCAGCATCCGACGCTCCTGGACCATTAACGGTAATATCCAGTTTCATAATGTAACGGTTCTTTATCTAATTTTATAATAAATATACGATTTGCATTCTTCACCCAGGACCGCCAAATCGCTGGTCCGCTGCCAGAAAATCTCAGGAGCTACGAGCTTATCGCAGCCTTCCTATCAGGCGTCAGGATTACAGAGATATTGTGGGTGAGTCCTCGTATCCCAGAATCACGAACGAAGATCTAGCGAAGGACCAAGAGTACCTCACTGGATCGAACGAATGCGCGACTATCAAAGGAAACGAAAACTTTACTGTCTATAAAAAAGAGGACGAAGTGCCATCGAACGAAATTACAAAAACTAAGAAAAACGATAACCAATCAAATAATGTTCTTAATATTAAATCTGGGGAGGATCAGACTCCTCCTCGAGTATCCTTAATAAAACCACCAAGGATCCTAACAAAGGCTGCTACGCCGGAAAACAAGCAATTCGTTAAACATGGCGAGAGAAAGTCAAATATTCCCATACTTCGAAGAAGTTCCAAGGAGTTTGAGGACCTCAGGAGTCCTCAGGAGTCCGCGAAACGATCCTTGATCCCCCAAAGGTAATTCGTCAACCTATAATCTTTGCGTTAATGAGCTAAAACTATAAGTAGTCTTTGTTCTCACAGATATCGAGGCAGCACAGACGACCTCAGAAGAAGTCGCGAGGATATCAGTGTCCCTAGCTTGATACCCAAGTTATTCGCTCCCCGGTTCAAGGAGGACAGACTGAAACGTCAAGACAGCCGAGATGAAATATCTCCTAGGACTAAGGACGATAGATTGAAGCGCCAAGATAGCAGGGACGAGATTCGCCACACGTCAAAGGCGAATCGAAGGGATTCAAAGGACTCGAAGGAAGACTCTAGGTCCTTTCAGTTTTGTCAAACTGGCAGGGAGGAGAGTAAGACCGGGATAAGGATCTTTCGACGAGACAGTCGTGAGGACGTGGGTAGAGATACTTTATGCCTGAGTGTCAGCGTCGGCGTCTTAAGGGGGAAGCAAAGCAGCAAGGAGGATAGACTCGAAAGAACGGAGGAACGCGTGGGTGAGGAATCGAGATCGAAGCCGTTTGCCAATGAGCAAACTGGACCAGCTATCAGGAATTCGAAAAAGGACATTGTAGAAAGTTCTGAGAGTAAAAACGTGAAGAACGAAACGGTGAATAACGAAACGAACGAAATTGCGAACAGCGTCGAGGAAATGAAGGCAGTTAAGAATCCGCAGGACATGGCAGACGAGCCGAAGCTTGAGCAGTTCAACGATGCTGAGACAAACGCGCTAGGTGAAGCTATGACAACTGAGGAAACGAGTCAAGCTGATCTTTCGGATAAGATGAAAAGTGAAAACTCGAATAATTGTAAATCGGAAAAGATGGGTGATTTTTCGGGATCCGTTGGAACTCTTGATGCCAGTGAGGGTAGTGACTGCGTTGACTTGGATGTCGTTGCTGTCACCACTCCTGAGAAACGTACCAGCTTTGATCCACTTCAGGGAAAGAGAATAGATGAGTTTCAGGTGGTTAGTAAATTAATACAATTAGATTGTCTTAAAGATCAATACATTAATTGTACGATTAACTAATGAAATTTTTCAAATTATTCGTAAAAAAAGATTAAGTAAACATCGATTTTGAACAGGTCCGAAGGAAGTTCTCAAAGGAAGAGTTCTCCAACCCCGACGATACGGATGATACACCGAACAGGCGTTGCTCCAGCGTATGTTTCATATCCCATTAAAGACTAAAATGTTTATCAACAAGTGAACAATTGAAAAAATAAATATCATTGATGTCGCAGCACTTATCACCAGAAGCAAGTCCCCTGAGTACAAGATCATCCAGGTACAGTCCTCGTGAAAGCGAAAGTGAACCCACGCCAGCCTTGCCACGCAAAACAGCCTGTGGTGACTCCTTCCTGTCTTCTCAGCGAATAAGAGACGCCATCACAAGAACACGAAGAGAATCTAATAGCAGCGCGAGATACGAAAGCAGCGGAAGTGAAAGTGTCAAGTACGTTTACGATCTGCATCCTAAATATCACTCTGAAAAACAGGTCCATCTTTATTTAGGATAAATTTAATTTTTACCAGACTCAGTGAATCCGGTCTGCATGGGTACACAGATTTAGCAAGAAGAGTTAAATTCACTGGAAGTGGTACAGGTCATCTAACCGGAAATGACGAAGTAGTACAACGAGACAGCGCCACCAGCGCAGGAGAAGACGAGCCTCGCGACGATTCTCATAATCGGGATCCTAGAGGAGGTCCTGGCTGCAACCAAGGCAGACCGATACTCCGCAGACGTAGGCAGTTCGACTCGCAGGGTGAGTCGAACGTGTACCTGTTCCATTACATTCCTCAATAACACCTAATCCCGTCAAAAACCAATAGAACCCCAATGTACAAAACACCTACCTAATAACTTTCCTTCCCCTTCAACCTTCCCATAACGAATTCATTGACCAAAGACAAATGCAAGCTTCCCATCTACATGTCATGCCATATTCTTATGTGAATATAATAAATTATTTGATCGGCGCGTAACCAGCGGCATATAGCAATTCGCAAGAGCAGTTGGCTCATCGATTTTCGAAGCCTTTCCTGCAATAAACTAGGTCCTGCTCGACCGACATATCCAGTCCCGAGGGTGACATATGGCGAGCAGCACGACGTACTAGAATCGGAAAAAAACTGCCAGTCGGCGACCTAGTGTGGAATACCAATTAAATTAAAATGGGCGCCACTTTCCCCGAACGCGCGTAATAAGACTCACAAATTTTGTGCACCGACGTTAATTAACGCGCGTCTACGCTCCGGTTCCTATCCGTGTTAATGACATCGACCCTCAACCAAATCGGGAATCCTTGCCCAGTAAAATCATCAACAGTGCCAAATCATGAATACAAGGAGACTATTCGAATTACTCATTACCGTTGCCTTATCCGTGTACTTTCTTCTCTTTTACGCTGCAGCCTGCATCGTTTTCTATCTGCTATGGACTACCGATTGATTACAAGTTGCACAATTTACATTACCTTACGGAAGATCGATTCGAACAGACGTAATCAAAATATTATCAGCTATAATATTTTACATTTTACGGCCATAAATCCCACACAAATTTTTGGCCTTCCCGGAAAATTTTCATAACACACTCGCAGTCCTACTACTGTCCCTTTTACTATCAGCAAGCACTGCGCCACGGCTATCGGCAGTTTTCACCGTACTGTAAGTAGCGAGTTGAAGCAGGACGGGATATACAACGAACGAACTTAGGTAGAACAGTGTGACGACGTCCTGTTCCAACGTATAGTCGACTCGCCTGTAATAATACCGGGTGTGCTGTAATAACTCTCCTGCCGGTAACGAAACCGGATGCCTGCTTCGTCCTACGAAGATCCCTGTAACTTTGCAGGTACAGACCTGCACAACGTGACGGTTAAGCAAAGGGAAATGATACGTTGTATTCCTACGATAAGTTGCGCAATCGCTCCAGCCGGTCGTCAAAGCACTCGGCAGTCAAAAGGGGCACTATGTAAACTGCCCATTATCTACCGGAGTACCGATTCGCTGGCAACGTATCACCCTGTATGATAGCTGCACTGCGTTGAACCGACTATAGCGTAACATGTACACGGCGATGCTATAGTTTTAGTGATATGGGCTATAGCACAGGTGTCCCGTATAGCCAGGTTTCAGTTTAGCCGTGCTAGCCCACGCGAACTGATCGGTCCCTGGACAGTGTCCAGTAGTACAGAGAGAGACAGTGAAACGTTATTCGAGTCTAGACGGTTCAGCGTAATTCAGAGAGTGACAAGTATCTCAGAAAAATAGATTGACGAAGAGATAAGTTTAGAAGATTATCATTCACCGTGAGGAAATTTTGAAATCGGTATCAGTGTTGTTCGTGGCTTCTTATCGGCTGAGGCTCATATATGCGTAGAGCTTGTTATATGTACGTATATAAGCTTATCTTCGAATATGAAAAATTTCTCGAAAAAAATTTTGTCATGCATTTTTGAGCAATTCTGAAATCTGAGCTGATTTTGGTACTCATGGGGATACGAGGCTGACCCGTGCCATTGACCAGGTAATTCATTAGCGCGTTAAGCCGAGAACACCCCGTAGCGTGACGGGAATGTTTTTGAGAGCATTCTGTGGGTTAGGCTTCGGTAGCCTCTTGGCCTAACATCCAACGTCTTGAGTCTTCTGCTCACGCAACGTAAAAGTTCGTCAACGTTCAGGCCACTTTGCGCGGAGTTTATTTCAAAATCGCTCGGGGAAACTTGGTCGTTGTGTGGAGACGACTTACCCCCGTGAAGGGAGCCTTTTTATTATTGTGACACCTGTTTCCTTTAGACGGTCTACGTCTGCGCTTTCTACTGTCAGTACGTTCCGATGATCTCCGCTGGAGATTCCGTTGTCCAATTAGTGTTCTGAAAATTGCAATAGCTCTTCTACACGTTGGCCATTTTAATATTAATTATTTTCTGTTATTCCTGTTTGAAGGTTCACGGCGCAGAGGAAGATCGCACGCCAGGGGTTGCACAGAGGAATTACAGAGTCTCCAGACGCTCCATGTAATCAGTCGAGGTGGTCATCGGCCGCATAGTCCGTCGGGCGTTCAGGGCCAGGGTCAGAATCCGGAGCAGCCTATAGTAGACTATCGTCGTCTAGTCTTCATCAGCTCGGACTCCTCGTCAGGACGCGAGGAAGACGACGCTGACAGCAGTTCCGGTTCCTCCTCGCTGAACGGGTTGCCCCGGGGTACCCATGTTCAGGGATTGGAGGACTGCGATTGGGATTACTTTGAGAGTGGTGCCATTCCTTTGCCTGCTGGTATAGCCATTAACGTAGGGGGTGGTAACATCGGTAACGAGAACGTCCCTCAGGATTGGAGCTGCTGCCCTGGACGAGGGTCATCTGCCTGTCAAGTGAGATTCTTTTATCTGTTTGGCCTTCTTTTATTTGGTAGATATGGTAGTGAGCTAAATTACGTGTTCTGGATTTGTCGATTGACGTCAATGCCGAGGTATCTTTAGTAGAATTTATTTTTTAGGCTTGTGGCGGCTCCCGTGGTGCTAATGTACTTCCGGTACCAGTACCTATCCCGGTTCCAGTTCCTTATCCTGTGCCGATTCCTGCCGCTCTGTGGACTGGAGAGTTTGCTGCGTCGTCGATGATCAGCTGTGGAACCTCAGCGGAAGGAACACTACGATTAAGGGGCGATCCTGCGGCTTCCTGGTTTACTTGGCATCCGAGATTTAATAATCCTTTACAAGGTACCAGAATAGATCCGAGACTTACAGCTGCATCTTTCGTTCCTGTCACGTTCTCCTTTGGTCCGGAAGTCAGTACGGGGTTTTCTAGCGAAGCTACTGAAACAAAACCTCCCGAAACAGGCACCTCCACCTGCGCTACCGAACCAAATAATCCTGTTTCTGAAACTTTTTCTAAAGTGAATGAGAGTGGTACCACTAATTCGGAGACTACGAAGGATGAGACGACTCACTCTGGTACCTCCGGAAGTAACAAAGAGGAACAGCCGAGTTCTTTGAAGGACCAGCACAGTCTTGAGGACGTAGCTGCTGAAGATAAGGATTGTAGAAAGAAAGAGGAGGACGAAGATAAGGCTCAGAATTCCTTATCGTCCTTTAAGTGTGAAAGTAGAAGTCAGAAAATGTATAGGCACTCGAGGGGAGACTCCGGGAGCTCTTCGGGAAGGTCTTCCGCTGATAGTAGCGACCTCGAGGACTCCGCGTCTCACCACTTCTCCCGTGTCTTTGTTGTGAACGACGACTCCTTGACCAGCGATAACGACATCGAGGACAACGAGGATTCTGATTCAGCCAGAGAAGGTGGAATCACATTGAGAAGGGTTACAGCCTTACCGGAAAATGAACCAGTGATTTTACGTCATGTCAGACTCCTCGACGAAGACATGGGGATTGATAAGACTCGCCAAGAACAGGAATCGAATGATTCCGATACTAGTTCGGATGAGATGTCAAAGAAACGTGACAGGACTTCTTCGGAAGATTCTGCGGCTGTAGTCGATAGTCCAGCTAGCGACAGAGGTTTACAAGCTGGAGGAACCAATGAAAATCAAATACTCAGAAGATACAATTTAGAAGCCAGTGAAACTTATGTGGCTGACACAAAGAATTCCTGCGACGATCAAATTCGTTTAAAGTCCATCAAGATACTCGATCCAGATAGCATTGACTCTACCACTAGTTACACTCTTGCTGGAAAAAGTTTGCAGGAACACTATTCATCTAGTTGTAGCAGTGCGATAAGTAAAGGACACGTGCCGTTGACTGAATCAGTAAGCCATAAGGTATCTGTGACTGATTGGAACGGTGCCATAGTACCGGATTCTCTAGAAGTCATGGAATCTTCCGATATTGTCCATCCAACGAAACCGGACGGTACAGCGAACGAGGGTAACCAGGAAATACGTGGCGACATCTGTGAACGAGAAGTCGAATCTGATTTACCAATAAATTGCGATAGAGGTACATCACGAGCAGATAAGACGATATCTGTATCATTGGCATTATCAGCCGCAGTACACGATGAAAGTCTGAACGGAATAATGTCTAATACGAGTACATTAGGAATTTCAAGCGCAAGTAGTGAAACTAATACTGGTAGCGAGGTGAGCAGCGATGAACTACATGAATACGAGTTATCACCAGGAACAGGAGCCGCATTCCTCTCGGAAGGAGATGACCGAACACTCTCTGCTGTGAACAAAGAACTTCTATTCAGAAGATCCAATCTCCCTTCGATCATTGACAAGGACGTACCGGATGAGCAGCCTGAAAGTCTTCAAACACCTGCGCCTGACAAGGAATACCAGCCATCTACAAACGAGTCGAGTGAATCAAAAATAAATCATCAAACCGAAAGTGAATCCACTTCGGGACTCCATTCAGAGAATTCAGATGATCTCGAGCCCGATTCCGATGGACAAAAAGTGTTAACAGTTACCCAAGAAAAGGCAGAATCAGCTGAAAGGAAAGGTAACGAGGAGTGCGAGCCAGTTAAATCAAGTGCGGAACCTGATAAAAGTCACAATGTGAACGATATAATATCCAGCAAGATTCATGAGATTTTCAAGAGTGTAGAAAGCTGCCATGGTAAGGTAGGTGAGGTGAACCACGTCCCGAAAGAGACTACGTCGTTGGCAGCGCATGACGAAAGCCGGCCGGTGAGAGGCGAGCGGCCCGACTCACGGCAGGTGGGAGGAAGTAGGGATATCGAAGGTGGTGGATGTGTCGGTAGTGGTAGTATCAACACCAGCAGTAGTGGTAACGGTAGTAGTATTAGCACTGGCAGCGCCAGAGAGACGGATCGCGGAATAGCAAGGTTTCGCTCAGTCGAGCGACGCCCGCCTACGCGGAAGGATGGCGTCTCTTCTGGTTTGTCGTCGAGTGATTCCGCAAGAGATTCAGCGAACTCTTCCTCGAACAAATATAGGAGCCTCGTGATGATCACGCAAGGTGCTTATCAGCCAGTGAGCGTGGTCACTTCAGATACGACTACGCTCCTGCAACCTGACGAAGAGGGCCACGGCGTCGCGACACCTCAAGGACTGGCCGGATACTTCCAGCTGGCGCTTGAGACTACTGCTGAAAGTCCTAGAGGAGGGAACGGCCCCAGGAGGCCTCTTATGGTCAAACGACCCCAGCAGAATCAACAGGAACCAGAGGCTGATAGTGGTCTCAGCGTTGGGAGTGCCAGTGAGAGCGATGACGTGCAATCTGTGAAAAGCCTTTCTAGGATCGTTCAAGCTGCCTCGGGCAATGAGCAGCACTCACCTTCGAGACCGGAGTCCGAGACAAGCCCTCGTGTACGTGGTTCTCCTATCAATTCTACAAGTAACGGTGTTGTGATACTCGAAGAGGGTCTTGCCGATGATGACTCTTGGGTCGAGGAAGTTTCCCACGACGAAGAAGAACAGGGTGCCACCACGGCTACCGAAGAGAGTTCCGAGGATGAAGCTAATAATCTTGGTGATCGCGAGGAAGAGCTCCGTGGATATCATAGACAGGCTATTGACTTTACGTTACACACTATTGTGGAGGAATCGTGCGAGGAAAGTGAAGCTGAGCCAAGTCTGGCTACTGGTAGTCCCAGGAAGCAAAGACCGCCCTCGGCATCTGAGTTGGAAAAATATTTCTTCTTTGGTCTTGGAGAAGGTAACGTTAGTCTGGGATCGAGAGAAGTCGACAGCCTCTCGGAGACGTCTTCAATCTATTCGGAAGGTCTAGAATCGCTTGGACAGGAAGAGGCGCCAACTGCGGGTGATAAAACTTCTGGCGAATTTCTCAACTCTTCCAGGCTCGAAAAGTATTTTCTATCTGAGTTTTTAGGGTTCGATCAGGATAGAAGAGATTCGGATGGCTCCGTTGGAAGCGACTCCGAAGGTAGACCCAGTCCGGAACAGCGCAGAAAGCGCCTGGTCAGGGCTAGAGGTACTGGACGATCCCACAGCTCTTCTCTGGATAACCTATTGGCTCTCGCCCAGAGTTCACAGAACCTCAGTTCACAAAACTCTCTGCAAGATCTTAGTCTGAACGCCGACGGTCAGGAAACTCAATCAGAAGGCTCTTCTACCGAGACGGATGGTGCGGAGGATCAAACTCCAGCTTTCGGTACGGATGGTCAGTTCGATACGGTAAAACGTAAAAAGAAAAAGCTCAGAAATCTCGGCACGCAGAGTCCCAGAGTAACGGAAGATAGAAACAAGACCCCCGAGCCACGGGAGATCGTGGAGAGTCTTGAAGTCGATCCTGAGACGGTGAATTCAGAGGACGAAAGATCCAAGACCCCACAACCAGAGGCAGCTCTGTTCTCATCGTCCTCTTCGCAAGCTGAACAGGCACGTAACCCGATCATTCCTGGAGAGGTAATTTCGGCCAGGAACAAACAACAATCTCGAGATTCAGGGTTCATCGGAAGCTGTGATGATTTGCTACAACACCAGAAGACTACTGGAGACAGTCTATTGTCAGGAAATCAGGAAGCTAAGGATTGTTCTCAGAATGCAGAAAACGAAAGTGCACAACGTGTGAAAAATAATTCCGCAAGACCGGAGGCGCCTTTGGGTCAATCGTCGTTAGCACCCCCACCGAATGCTTCTCTCTCGAGAAAGGACAGCTTCAACAACTGGTCCAGCGATGAGGAAACGAACTTGATGATGTCCAAGATGCGTCAATTTTTCAAGACCATGGTGGCTAATTCCAACGGGCAAAACCAAACGTCCAGCGCTGCGTCGCCTGCTCCAAGTCCAAGATTATCAGGAACATCGCCTAAGCTAAGATTAGGATCGCAAAACCGTACTAAGCCACCACAGTTAGTCTACTTTGAAAACGAACTAACTAGACTGATGAAGACAGTCCCAGGAATTCGGGACGAGCAGGTCCGTGAAATTGTCGAATACTTAAGCTCGGAAGATACCTGGTCGGACTCGTACGACAGCTCAGATTATACCAGTTCAGATCTCGAGGGTGCGGGTGCAGGAGGTCGGCGCTCAGCACTACAGGAACAAATATCCCAAAGCTGTCAACAGATCATCAGTAAATTCGATACTAGTACTGACCTACTGTCCGACAAAGAAGACAGCGCAGGTCCTCCTCTAGGTAGAGACACAGCATTCGTATATCAGAAGCTAGTTCAGAGTTTCACGAAGATGGCCGGAGACGGAGTCAGTTCCGATGCCAGTTCCACGCCACATAGCAGTCCTCCTCTAATAGCCAAAGTAATGCATCACATTGGAAGTCGCTTGGTGGCTCTGATGCATGAAGTGTCCGAAGGTGGTCCGGCAGTTCAGCCTCCAGCTTCGTGGAGACGTTATCCTCAGCATCATCGTACACCGTCTTCAGCTTCCACCACCGAAGACGATGATTCCACCTCAGACTCTACCAACCCACCAGCTCATCTTCAACTTCCTAGATCCAAATCTCACGATCCTTTACTCTTGCTGAATGGACATCCTGCTGCCGCTGGCCAGGAAGGCGAAGAGCGTGAAGCCAGTGATTACGAAAGGTTCTCATGGAGAGGCAGTTTTGAATCAGCTCTAATGGCTGCTGACTCAAGAACAAAACTTAGCCTCCTAGCCTGTTCTGGGGACGTGAGTGCCAGTGCAAGTGCAAGTGCTCTGGCAATGGCTGCCAAACGACGTAGTGCCGGCGACCTGCTCTTCAATCCAAAGAGCTTTTCCAGGGAGCAGCTCGACCGAGTTCGCAGCTGCGGGTCAATCGGTGGTGGCAGCGGCTCGATTGAAGAGAAAATTTGGAGCAACAGAAGAAGATCATCTGTCCCAGATGCCAATACAAGAGGAGAATCAGGTGGGTCGATCTAGTTATTTTTTCTAGGATCCTTTGGATCATAGCTTCGAACTGAAAAGCAATCGCTCAGAACTCGTATTTAACGTCAGAAGCATCGATTCAGTTCCAAGTTCTTTACATAAACATAACACTCATCCGTTCCAATGAAATATCATCAGATAAATCACACAAACATACATCATTATTGAAGTAGCAAAACACAACTAGCAGTAAAAGCGAATTCTAACCCAGGGTTACGAATCTCTAGAATATTATATGCCTGTCATAGGTGCTTCTGCTGGCGACGACGATACGGAGGATGAACTAGAATACACAGGAGATCCCAGAGCAACGACTCTTCCTCGAGGGATGCAGGCGGCCGCGACTGCATCAGCCGCAACGAATTCCCTGCCCAGGTTACCAGCCAATGCGTCTGCGGCTCCTGGAGGATCTTCGAGCATGCACAAAGCCCACAGTGTGCACCATTTTCTTCCTCAGCACACTGGAGTCAAGTCCGCTCGATACCGTCCACCAGGATTCGCTCGTAACAGCCTTGGCAATGCTGGAGTCGGTCCTAAACGTGCTGTCAGTGCGCCAGGGCTTCAGATATCCGGTTCCCAGGCATCTGCTGGAAAACGTGATACATCCAGGTCGAGAAGGCAGCAGACAATGTCCCTCTTACCTGGTAAGCCACTTTAGGACCAAGGAGTCCATCAATTTTCCATCTGAAGTCCATCTCATTTTTAACGAAGTCCCTAAAGAGTTCCAACGCGGCGCAGTCGTTGCAACGTAATCGCGTTACAGACAGCCTCTCCAGCCCCTTCTCTTACTTTCTCTCTCTTTCTCTTCTCTCTCTCTCTCCCTCTCTAACTCTCTAATTTTTTCCCACTCCTCTCACTGCCTTTTATTTTCTCTCACAGGCACATATCGTCTATCCTCCCAGTCCTCGTACACTCATACGCCATGCTTGTCGAGAACAATCAATAATGCCGCGTAACGACATCATGCGAGTACTTCAAGCCACGTATCAATCCTTGGGACAGCAGCATCCAAAGCTGTAAAAGCGAATTTAAAGCACTACCCTCCGCCTCGATATCATCGTTCATCATTCGGCTGACGTCAATTGCGATACCGTACTGAAAAACGTTTGGTCAAGTTCTGCGTGAATATGCCGACTCTGTCTTTCGGCTTGCGACATTCCTACAAGCTGTACAGGCATCGACCCATTTTACTAAACACGATTGTCCAGGCATTCCACACGATTCCTCAGCAACGTAGTACGTGGCTACGTCGCTAATAGGAATAGCTACCGTTACGTTCTGCGATGTTGAATTAAACTTGTGTCGCAATATCTCCAGTCTCAGTCGCGTTCTCACTATTTTTCTACAAGCCATCGCAGTTCTACCAGGAATATACACAAGTCCAACGCAGCTCGTACAATTATACTTCATAGCTACGTGTGCGTTTACCGAGCGAAAACTTATCGTACATAACGTAAGCACGCGCTCGATGTCACAATTATGGGCTCCTGTGTACATCGTGATTCCAGACGAACAACGTGTTCAGCCATACTGCACGAATTAACATGGCGTTAGTTACTATCTAGTTGACGTCATCGGTAGACGGTACGTCGATGATACCTCAAACTAGTTCCCGGAGAATCGCTCATTGGCGGGTACTTTAAACGGCACCTGGACTTACCTGTTACCGACCTTGATATCCATAGTTTAGTTCAGCTTTCCCATTAAGAGATTAACGAAGATGGCGACGTCGGCGACTGTTTACTGTTAAAACGAAGTATCTTCGCGATACATCGCGAGCGATAACCCGCGAGCGAAATCCGCCCGAGCGGAACCGCAAACGACCGTTCCGGAATGCACGTCAAACTTTTTAGAGGATTACTTGGAAACGGTTTATCCCTTCCCAAGGACTGTAACCGGCGTCTCTCCTCGCGCCGGCATCTTGAATCCTTATAGAAAATTACTGTTCTCTTTGTTTTGCGTTTCAAGACCGAATATGAAATCGCCCGAAGACCAGTTCACGAGATGCATACATATGGGAATTTATAATGTCAGTCGACCGAAAGTCATGCTCGTTTGTATACGACTGTATCTTATGGCAGATACGTGACTCTTTGCGACAATACTCGTCACGTGTATCTACCTAGTTATATTAATTTCTGGTAAACATTGAAAATTTTTTACACTGCCTAAACTCGCATAAGGACTGCGCAATTTTCTTGTCTATCTTTATAAGTTATTCATGAGAGATATATGCCCTGCATAGGTAGGGACACGTAATCGTATGCCGGATCTGGACAGTCTATCGCTCACCTTGACATACATATACTATACTTTACTAGAAATTGTAGAATACACGGGATCTTGGGTACATCTTCTAGGCGTCGTGACGGTACTAAAATTCGAAAAGATTTACAAATTGTTAAGTACTCGTATGAGCAACTTCTATCAAACGTTATTTATATACTACCGAAGGGAAGCGGAACCGACGTGGATGCTTATCAAGGAGTTCTGATTAGAAAACGCCGTTGAAGCACAGTCCTGAAAGTGCTTTCAGACCAGTCTCGTGTTTCTGGTGGAGCAAAATCTTAATTGTATACTCTTTGGATACACTAGTTTGGGAGGGCAAAAATTTTGATAAAATAAGCAAGACCTAGTCCAACTCGTGTAATAAGTTTCTACGCATAATGGCAGAAGTCTAATTTTAATTTTTATGAAGTTTTTTGATCTCAAGTTCGTATAATTCAGAAGATTGTTTGGTATGGCAGTAGCCAGTGCACAATACTTCACGTTCAATACTCCCAACCGTTCTTGCCCCACTGGAGAAGTAGCTCAGCGAGCTTCCGGCTGGATAAAAGACCTGTGCTGCGGCTGCACCTGTTGCGACACGAGAAACAGCAACCAGAGTATCCCATCACGTGCACCTCCAACCGAGCATAACGAGTCTACCGTGAAGTACATTACTATACCAGCTATGGGGCTTAAAGTTCTTCCCGAAGAAGATGAGAACAGCGAACAGGAACAGTTCTTGTCAAATGATCCTGCAGAAGAGAATGTTAAAAATGCCAATGTAGATGAAGCTGATGAACAGAAGCCTGGGGAACCTTCAAGCCTGGAAAATCCTGTTCTAGATACTAGCCAGGGTCCGCCTGAGCCAGAAGTAGCGGCGAGTAAAAAAGCATCGACATCCTCGATATCCTCAAGTTGGTCTAATAGTGACGTTGTAAGGAGCAGAGAAGGATTATTCAAAAAGCATAGAAAGACTGCTGCCACTTTTTTGGATGTACCTACTGTGGGAAAGTACAGGGAAATACGTGACGAATGTGCGTCCGAATTTATAATTTAAATCGTATGATTTGTGCCCAATGTCCTTGCTGATTATAACAATGATGACGCGTGCCAGAACTGTACTGGCGATTATCGCGATTCAAATTAGTCATTCAGTAATGTTTTTGTTCTATTTCAGATGACGGGAGCAGCCTATCTGAAGCGTGCAGCACTCCTATTATTGGTGCGGGATCAAGATCTAGTTCTAGTCCTGCTGTTGACGACGACATGGATCGTGGACTTCATTCTGGGCATCTGGCAACACGAGCTTCTCTGTCGAGTCTTGGAGTAAGTGAAATTTGTGCATGTATGCGACTGTTTACGTCGTAACGGTTTATATTTTTGCTTTTTATTTATCAAAATACCGAACCTGTTTTAATAATATCACTATTCCCATAGGCAAGGTCGGACTCCATGGCGTCTGTTTATAGTGGTGCCGGTGAAGGAAGATGGTGCGGTTCTGTGGCGGTTAGAGGCGAGGTGGAATTTTCACTTCAATATGATTATAAGCAGCTGACATTTGAAGTTCACGTGACGCAATGTAGAGACCTCGCACCGGTCGACGTTAAGCGGAATCGCTCCGATCCGTAAGTTTATTGTAATTTGAATAACTTGTTAATTAGTTATAGCTACACCGGAACTAACTGTTGGAATCGATTGAACCTTCTTTAGATACGTCAAAGTGTATCTACTACCCGACAAGTCCAAGAGTGGAAAACGTAAGACCAAGGTGAAGAAGCATACGTTGAATCCAGTCTTCGACGAGACCTTGAAGGTACTTGAAACACATGTTAAGATCCGTTTTTATTAGATACTGGACGATCTAATTAATTTTCATGTATAACGTTGTAGTTCCACATGAGTCTTAATGGGCTAGAGACAAGAACATTATGGCTTACTGTGTGGCACTCGGATATGTTTGGTCGTAATGACTTTCTTGGAGAAGTTCGAATGCCTCTTGAGAATAAGATCTTTGACGACCCTACACCAAAGTGGTATTCTCTTCAGGAAAGGGTAAGGAGCGCAACTGTGCAAACGAAAATTATTAGCTAGTTATAATACAATAATAGATTTATTATGCATTTCCTGTTGAAAACAAGGATCGGTATGCGGCACGCGACCAAAATAGTCTGTTTCCAAAATTTCAGACGAACCACTCATCCAATTGACTTGAAATTTAGAGAAAACATTAAGTTTTACATGTGAGTGATACAGTAATATTTGCAGATGTCTACCATTTTTTATTCGAGACGGCGCATACGAAAGTGTCTGAAAGTTTATGTTGTATGTTTGAATTTAAAATTCAAGATGAACCGATTATCCAATTGGATTGAGATTTACAGAAAAAAATTATGAAGACGAATATGGATCAGTAACACTTGCAAATGTTGAGCACTTTCAGTTTGAGCGTTCCGCATACACAATTATTTTTTTTTTATTCAACAGTGAATGCATTAGACGCAACCGTGTGGTTGAAGCACGCGTATTTCTGCTTGTCCTAATATTTGCTCGTACAATTATCCACAGACGGAACCGTTTGATGATCCAATTGCTTATAAGGGCGAAGTAATAGTTGGCCTGAAATTCGTTCCTCCGGATCCAGCACAACAACAGGAACGTGAACGAGAACATGGAGTTGATCATCGTGGCACTTCGAAGGCTAGAAAGAATTGGAGTCGCGGAGCCCTCCACGTTCTCGTAAAGGAGGCGCGTAATCTTCAGACTCGTGCAAAACACAATGGCACTTGCGATCCCTTCTGCAAAAGGTCCTTATACCATTTCGTCTAACCATCCTTGAGCTGTAGATTTACAGGAAATAACACGGACCCCTGTTTAACGATATATATTGCTTTTAGCTACCTACTTCCGGACAAGGGTCGTTCTGGCAAACAAAAAACAGGGGTCGTGCGTAGATGCTCCGGTGGTTCACCCGTTTGGGGTCATACGTTCGTATACAAGGACGTGAGTTTGCAGGAATTGGCTGAACGTGGCCTGGAACTTACAGTATGGGACCACGATCGTATTGCCAGTAACGAATTCCTCGGTGGTGTTAGATTTAATCTTGGAACTGGTTAGTGATCTAATTAATTATAAATAAAAATATCCTGCCAATGTTATTACGCGATTAAACTAGCATGTCAAATAATAATAATACTCATTAATTACTTTTCATAGGTAAGCACTATGGAAAGCCTGTAGACTGGATGGACGCAACTGGTCGGGAATTGTCTCTCTGGCAAAGCATGCTGGAGAGACCAAACTTCTGGGTAGAAGGTGCGGTCACTCTGAGGCCTAATCTCCACAATCACGGCAGGAGCAGCGCCTCTTAGGGTGTGGAGGGATCAATAGAGAATAACGCTGGCGCATTCGCGTTGCGCCAACATACACAAAACCGGAGCACGTTCATAATAATAATTTATATTAATCAGCAGAAGTTTCTTTACGTTTAATATTTTTTTTCAGTATAGAATGAAACGAAAGGATCCGTCCAATCAGGCGATAAGTCACATCTTTTCATACAGACGTTACTTAGTTCGAGCCAAGTTGTTCGTGTCGTATGCGTTCTTATTATTGTATCAAGATTCACTTAATCGACCACATAGTACTGCTCGTCGTTAGATAATATTACTGAGGGACCACCTGTTTTTTCTAACATAAATATTAATTCATCGTGGCCAAGAGTGCATACATGTACTTGTTTATAAAGTTAAAAACCGATTCTTCTTTGACTCTCGACCGATGTTTGGACTGTTTTCTCTCTCGGTGAGAACAACATGCTTCCATATTGTATATACAACAACAAAATTCTGGGTCTTATCATGTGCGACCCAGAATACTCGGAACGGCATATTTAATGATATTAAATACGTTGTGCTTCCGATAAGAAATATATATATATATATACACTATAGGTAAATAAACATACATATATACATATTATAAATAGGACAGAGTGGGTGGCGTTAGAAAAATACAAATTAAGTTTCATAGTGCATTGATTACGTGGAAACGAAGGAAAAGAAATTCAAGGCTGAGCTGATTATTCGTACTTAAAGACGTGAACTTCGAGTCTTCGTTTACACCTTTACTTAGCTTTCATTACGATTATATGCGATAGATAATGAGCGATATTATAAACCCTGCATAGCGGTATGATGATTTTCTGCAAACAGGGTGATAAAGTATATTAAGAGAACTGCCTTATGTCCCAAGTATTTTTTAGAATCCTTACGAAATACTTAAGAACGCGAAACTCCTTGAGGCAAAGGGACGCCTGCAATGGCTACCACGGGTTCGTTAGGTAAACGAAAATGCGTTTGAATAAAGAGTGAAAACACTTTTAAAAAATGTAAAGAATGGATAAATAATCTCAGGACAACGAGCTAGGCAGGTTTAGTGTCCTATCAGGATAATTAAATTGAAGTCATCATCATATGTGAAGACAAGAAAATAGATGTGCACGAATGATTATACTTAATATTAGTAACGGTCACGCGTACTTACGCAACGTTCCCAAACTGTAAAGACATGGAACTAAGAGCTCTATTTATGTTATATACCTACATATGTGTACATGAGAATAAAACTTTTATACCTTTACTCGTGCGAATTAACATTCCAACCGTAATTTCTTGTCCCCTTATTTCCGCCTCTAGAGATCGTTATTTGAAATGAAACGATTGCCTTCAGAGTTCTTTCCAGAATAGCGGTATTTGCACTTCCCGTAAGCACCTAGAGATAACCCCAAGCATCATTCATTTTCAACCTATCATTTAGTCTGGGTAAATTCTCAATCCTCATACCTTTGTGATCTTGCGGCGTACGCACGGATCGTGGAAGTGGCGTGTAGTTTATAAAATCGAGTCCATCGTACTCGTCGATCGAAGATGATGGTGGAAGACCGGGTGACTCCTGGGTGAGTTTGACAGTTCGATAAAATCGGCCACGATTACGTGCATTCGACCTTTCGCTAGCAGTCACAGCTCGGTAATCGAGGAAACGGATGGACGGTGGCAAAACATAAATTGAGTAAAGCCTAAAACGCTCATAATCTTCATCATCGTTCAGTGTAGGATTTGTCAACTGATCCGGATAGCCAGGATTGCCGAGCAGACTGACATATTCGACCTTGGGACAGCAGTCTTTTATCCTCTTCAGAACGCCATCAATGTCTGCCAACTATATAAAAATAAGAGTAACTATATATTCACTTATATTGCAAGTCCACATTGAGAATTATTTTAGTCAGTGAACGGTCTCACAATTGATATTCACACTTTCGCAGGTAACGTGTGCAGCCTGTATACATTAATGTATGCATATATGTATAACGGGTGAAACTACTAATCGTGGGAGCGCGCATTGTAAATCAGATAGGAGTTAAGATCATCTTACACACTTTATATATTACGTTGCGTTATGCATCAATTCACTCTGTAATGAGCTCAAAGTTTTGTATAGGATATTGATATCATTTGAGAATTGATACGGGAGGAGCTGTTAGGAGTTAGAGATTTGACGTTGTTGCGTACTCGCGTGGAATTACAAATATCGTTAAGCCCAGGTCAATGACACTTCAAGCTTGTTTGTATCATACGATATTGTCGCGAGGTAGGAGAATAACCGAGATTCACGCTGTGTAAAACGGAAATCGTACGCTGTGTTATGCAGTGAACGTTTTTGTTTGTAACAGCAACCTTATTATTGTTCACGCTGAGGGTAGTGAGACTCGGCATGACTGGTAGAGTTTTCAGGTCTTCTAAGCAATTGTTATCCAAGATGAGTTCCTCTAGGTCGGTACAGTCCTTCAGTGCCGATACAGAACTCAGCGCGTTGTAAGATAAATCAAGGCTCACGCAGTCTACACCAATGACTCGAACCAAACCGCTTGGTATTCTCTCAGTTTGCTGTCCCGTGTACCATGCCTGTATCATTTGTATGATTTAATTCTTCGTAGAGCCTCCTTTCTCTAACAAAAGTGTAACAAGAGGATAACCTTTGTGTAATTTAATAGTTACCCGTTTTCGTTGTACAGTCAAAGCGCTTCTATTAAAGTCTTGTTGGTTCAGCTCCGCCATCTTGTATGCCGACTGCTTAAACAAGATAAACGTAAAATCGGGTACGATTACCAATATTTACGTATTATATTGCAATGATGATAGGCTACGAAAAAATAATAATATACATATGGCTCGTTGGTCTAGGGGTATGATTCTCGCTTAGGGTGCGAGAGGTCCCGGGTTCAAATCCCGGACGAGCCCTTTATTTTTTTTTTTAATCATTCACACATATCTTTGCACCACACAAATTTTTTTTCGAACACTACACACTTGTGGACATTTTTGACAATAATGTGTATAAGCAATGAGATGAATTACGTTCAAGTTTCACAAAGTATAGATCACAAGAATATTGCACGCCATGTCTCAACCGTATTTTCCACGCGACGATAGTATCGAGTATGGCACATTTATATCGTATTACGCCGCTTCTCCAGCCATCCAGCCATTAATCTTAGAATTAGTCGTCATATGCGCCACTGTACACATATGTATGTATAATACGTAGGCCTATATCTATACACAGAAACGTAGTTTACCATATTAAGAGATAATCGCCTGTGTTGTGTCTTAATTATTATTATTATCTAACGTGTATTATTTTTTAGCGTATCCGCTACGGAAATAATATCATTACTAAATACATTGTAGAAGATTGCTTTAATATTTATATTTATTCATATAATCCAAAAGTCATCTTAAGATGCAATAGAAGATGACTTGACGATTTATCTGCTGTCTGGAATACAATACGCTTCTGGACTTTTGAAACTGTCTTTACTTGCGTACATAACAGAATAGCCACGTAGATTTGAAAAAGACGTAGGTATTATGAAGCCAAGAATTATACAGTGTGAGTGGCGATGATGGTCCCATTGAGTGTTATGTCTTCGAATTCTTCTGTAGTTGCTCAAAACTTCGCTCCCTTCGGTCTAAAATGCGGGCAGATATAGAGGCTGCACTGTTCTATAGGGAACATAAGATGTTTGTGACATTCCAGTGCTTTTTCTTGTCGGGAATCTATGAAGATGATTGCGATGTATATTTAAAGAAAGACTGGGGGGGTTATGCTGACTATATGTCGATAAACATTGGTAGTCGAACGATAACGATACAAAATACATTATTTTCGTGTCTACATAAAAGCCATACCGTGGCTACGTCGAGATTGGAATACGTCAAGCTAAGCTCTTTAAGATAAGAAACGGCCGATTGCGAGAATGAATCAGTAAATCGAAAGCCGTAGGTGGGATTCACGATTGCCGAGCAGCTACAAAACGGTTAGTCGGAAATAAAAAAGGAAAGGATACACATAGTCTGAAGAGTTTAGAAGCTCATCACATTTCCTTCACGTAAGTTTATTTTCACGATATTCCCTGGTGTTTTTAAATAGCACCCATGGTATTCTTGAAATACTATTTGACCGCATTTTGCAAGAAAGATCCTTTCTCTATTTACTAGCAATAAAGTGGGTGATTCAACTTTGATTCACTTACAGCATAGTAATGCAGTGATGAATCCATTTTCCGCGTCTAACTTAGGAAGCGTCCTTAAAAATATAAAAAATATATTGCACCTGTGAACTGCAATCTGCGCGGCTTTTAGGCATGTTTGTTTTAGCATTTTTAAGTGCTACGGAGCACAATAGGTGTGTTCGAAAATAAACCGAGAACGCTAAGACTATCCTTGTGTCTAGATCAAATCCATTCAATAAACAGAAAAACAACGGTAATTTCAGTGCCCTCGGCTCATTTTCGAACACGCTTATGGTATTCTGGAGTATTTAAAAACGCTCAGCAAGCCTTTTGGCTCTTCAACATACCGTAATACCGCAATACTCTTACATCAATATGTGTAGCTTGCTTTTACTTATTATAAAGCACAGCAGAGCAGTGGCATTTCTCTTCCGCTAATGTATGATATGTATATATACATATCTGTATCCTACACAGTCGAACACAGTTCAAGATGGCGGCAGTGACACATTCGTGGGCCTGTCAAATTGGCTTGGGATACGCCTAAATTTCAGCATTTAACCATTCCTTCTATAGACAGCACATTACTATGAGTTCCGTAAGTGTATTCCGTTAGTTTAGAGGGTGAATAACGCGTCGCGGGCCATCAGATCTCTATCATCACGCGTACCTCGTCCCGTTTCGTGCGTATGCAAAATTCCGTTTAGGCTATCTTTTCATCGGCCACTCTACAGTTTCACGTTAGAACGACGCAAGTGTCAACGACAAGATATTACTGTTATTGCTGTTTCTGTTCTCGTGTTCGTCAGTTACGCGATGTTTTTTGCACCTTGAGATATTCCTGTTACCTATGTGCAGCAGCCGAATTGTGTATGTAACGCATTCGACAGCACTGAAGGCGTGCATGCATCCGTTTTGTAGGTGTAAGCGGGTGACCCAAACGCCGGGACCAGAATCGGGCCTAGGAGAAACATGGAGGCGATAGTAGAATACCACTACTTAGCACAACAGCCCGATGAACTAACAATCCGTAAAGGCGATATCATAAAAGAGATCAAAGAGATGCCTGGTGGTTGGTGGGAAGGCACCCTAAGGGACAAGCGTGGCATGTTCCCCGACAATTTTGTCAAGGTACACCTTGGATCTCTAGAATCGCGAATCGCTAACCGCTCCGTAAACCCATATAGATTGTATGTGCACGATGGTTCCTCGATACTGGCCTATTCCATACGACAGGGACATGTAGCCCTTACGAATGCAATTTTTTCCTTAGTACTTGAAAAGATGTAGTCCATTCATTCTAGACTGCTGGAATTTTGTTGTACGCAGATGCGAAACAGGACACCGTTTTTCATATATTATCAGATATGCTGATTTCATTGATGCAACAAAACTAAGTATTTAATATTTGTAGGTATTGGAACATTCTTTGGGTAGTGGTGGTGGTGGTGGAGGAGGTAGCGGTGGAGGTGAAGGCACAACCAGTGGAAGGAGTGAAGATGTCACACTGAGAAATGGATCGGGCAGAAAGTGGTGTAAAGTTCTCTTCAGTTACGATCCTTGTAACGAAGATGAATTAACTCTAATACCTCAAGACTCAATAGAGTATTTGGGAGAGGTTGAAGAAGGATGGTGGAAAGGTCGACTTAGAGGTAGAATTGGTGTGTTCCCTTCAAATTTTGTCTCTCCTCCAACTTTCGAAGAAGCAGACCAAAGGAAAGAAAGAGATAAAAGAGAACTATGCAGAGTTCTTTTTCCTTACGAAGCAGCTAATGATGATGAGCTAACTCTCGTCGAAAACGAAGTGATTACCATTATTTCTAAAGATGCACCTGACAAGGTAAAAACTATTACGCAGCCTACAAAATGATTAACATGTTATGTAAAATTAATAACTTACTGCTTTTCCATAGGGATGGTGGAAAGGTGAGCTCAGAGGACAAGTGGGGCTCTTCCCTGACAATTTTGTCGAAATATTGGATCCAATAACAGATCACCACTATCAGGATCAGGACTCACGTCATGACTCGAGTCATGGTAGCACAAAATCTAACAGCAAACATTCCCTCGTTGGGAAAAGGAGCGAAAAGGCTCACGTGAGAAAAAGTCTTGATGCACGAAACTCTCACAGCGGTGAGTTTAACCATTCTTCTACCTTATTTTATTTCTCATCCTTATGATCAAGTGTGAATTACCCCTTTCATGCAGAAGCTACGAAGAAGGCAACATCCACCTCGTCATCCTCATCACTCTCATCCTTATCAGGAATGATGAGTATAGTTATTGGTGCCAACGGTGATAAAAAATGCGTCAGTAACCGGCCGCTCCTGTCTACCTTGAAGCGATTCGTAGGTGACGGAAGTAGCAATGCAGGTTTGGGTGAAGAACTAGACGGGGTAGAACGTGGTGAGGGTGCACCGCTTTCGCACTTAACGGCTTCACGGGCCAAGGCACCGCGTCGTCGGCCACCATCCACGCAACACCTTCGCCATCACACTACCGGCTCCTCGGTTACCACCACATCCACTTCTGTTTCGATCAACGTAGCATCTGCCATCATGGTACCTATTGTACTAACCTGAGCAATCTTTATATCTTCCTATCCCAATGCAATAATTTCTTCTTCGTTTCATCCAACGACCGATTATTATATTATGTTTACGGTAATACACTATTCCTCCAGGAGGATAGCTTGTCGAACGGGAACGTCGAAAATGTTCTGGACCAACTTCGGGAAGAGGACACCGACAGTCCAACAGGAAAAACTAGAAAAAAGGCACCTTGGGTAACGATCTTTGATTAACGCAACGAAAGATTCTTCTTTCTAAACTAAATATTTTAATATTCTTTGTATTTTTGGCTGATCTGATAGGTAGAAGAGTTGAAGATGAGTCAACTGGAGAAAAGAAAATCTGCCTCGACCGATAGAATTGAAAAAACCGAAGTTAAAAAAGAGAGAAATTACTCTAAGTAGGTAGCTGCTTATTTTGTAACTTTATCTACAGAGTTATGATACATCTGTATGATCCATAGGGTTGTGACGACAAGTATGACGGATTCTGTAATAAAGCAAGAGACAGAAGGAGAGGAAATTAGACCAAGGGAGAAAGAAAGAGGACAACGAATAGATTCTACGTGGACTGACCATCCTATTGCATCGCCTTCTACGCCAGGACCTCCTGTCTACGTTCCATATCACCTTTACAGCCAATTATTGGAGAGGGTAAGTTCGTTTTTTGCTAACATGGTAAATACACCTCTGTACCTGCTGAAACGAGGGTATATTGCAACCGTTCTGTTCAGCGCATGGAGTGTCTCGTCATGAATTTATATTAATCACAAACTCTCCGGTTATTAACTACGTGCATTTTATCAATGCCTATCTTTAACCCCTCCTTGCAGTAAATAATATTAATAATATGGAATAATTGATATCAGGTCGCTGCCCTCGAGGAAAATCAAGCGATGCTACAACGAACGGTCAGCCAATTGTCGGAACAGTTGGTCCCTCTGCTGGCGAATACCTTGACGACTAACAAGGTATAAAAGTATTGAGAAGGGTTGGCGGAAAAAATCACTGTGCATTCCTTCCCGCGCGTATTAGTACCGCTCTTCAATTGTTTGCCCTGTCATTATTTTTTCACAAATGTCTATTAGTATTACTTCATTAAGTATTACCATTAATCAATTTTATTGTATATCATCGTTATTTACATATTTATTAATGTCGACGACAGTATTTTATATACACGTGCAGCAGCAACGTCACGACGATAGCCTTTTGGTTTAAACTTTTACCGGGTGTTAATCCGCTGAGGAGGTATTATTAAACTTTGTGTTGGCTGACTAGTTCTCTCAGAGCTCGCTTGTTTCACAGAATAGAAGATCAAAGGTCCTCTCACTTCCTGCCGCATGACCCCGGATGGCATGTAAAACCAGCTCTATAAAACTAACCCGTTTTGAAGATACCTCCTCGGTGGTCAATCTACTTACGCTGAACAGGCAATTTTCCACGCGACAGACCACTTCAGCCTACGTTTTATATTTTATATTATTTTTATCATTTCCTATATAAACATCGACATAAAAATTTTGGACTCTCGAACTGTGTTATACGAATCGAGTGATCTCAGAATGCTAAAACTGCCATGTGCTATCATCATGTTGTAATTCCAATGTTATTGTTGGTTTATATATTATTATTTTATCATTAATGATCGTATTTTTGTCCACTCTTGTAAATTTCGTCTGTGAACAGGAGCGGATAAGTATGCATACGTACTTAAAAATTATTGAAAAAAAGAGTATTAAGGAAGCAAAAAGAAAAGAAGGGGCGAACATTTGAATTTTCGTTCGATGAGTGTTCGCAAGGAAATTAGACAGCTCTCACAAAAAGTAAAGTGTCTGTAGTAATGCGATATCAATTTTATTAAGTAATCCGACCGTGCCAATATACATTTGCATTTACAAGGTGTTCAGGAGTAAGCGAACCGTATCGCTCGACGTTTATCCTTGAAAACTCTAAATTGAAAAGTCGATCCGAAGAATTGATAAGGACGTTTCTATTCGGGATTCTACAAAGTTTACCAGCATACTGTACAGTTCGGTAACTCAGGGACACCCTGTATATCGCGCGGTTTACCGTACCCCGGTACGACACTTGTAACCCGGTAGGATAGACTTAATTTTAAATGCGTAGCGATTTCGAAAAGAAAGAGGTACGCGGAGTTTGAAAGAAAGCATACGCGAAATTTGGTAAAAGACGATATTCGCGCGGGTTCTGTTGAACCATTGAGGAATCAGGGCACATAACCTAAACCTCATCAAATCTAAGCTAACATTCCTTTATTGCGGCAATATGGTGCTAATACTAAAAAGAAATTTTTAGACGATACGTGTGTACGCCTACTATATCGATGGTTAGGGCGATGTGCAAAAAGACGAGATGGGCTTCTTTTACCATTGTTCCTGAAGAAGGTGAAAATGAAATTTGCACGATTGGTGATCACAATCTACCAATACCTTTTTTACATCCCGAACGAATCCAAACGTTTTTATACTTTTGTAAATTTATCATGTTCGTGTCGTCAATCTGTGTATAGAAGGGATGCGCTTTATTTTACATAGAATTACATTCCCGTGTTACTTATTTGTGATATTCGCACAGTCAAAACTAGCGTTTTACGTATCGTCACTCACTTACGATAGTCGCCTTGTTTTTATAATACGATTGGCAGTATACATAAATGCAACGTGCAGGGTTGCTCAGACCAAACTCACCATACGAAGGTAACCTGTCCGTTTGATTTCCGTGGTAGAATCAACTTTGGCTGTTGCGTTTGTACTGGTCGACCCTGTACGTATCTCCACTCTTGTGTCCAACCGTTTTGGCATTTCTCAATATACTAAACGAATCTTTAATTAAGAAGCGTTAACTGGAAATGGGCGCAGCTTAGATACAATAATGTGTATAGCACTAAAATCCTGGGTTACGTGTGCAGCTACTTGAGTACTGTTGAGCCCAGCACAGAAATACTTTGAGGCAAACTATTTTTAAGCTCCTAGATTTAAGTGAATTAATATCTATACGATTAAAAGGATCGCAAAGCAGATAATTTTACAGATGACGAAGCACGTATTGAATTATGTACATACATAGAGACAAATGAAAGTTTATATTTTCTCTCGGTTCTCGCCTGAACACGCGTCACGCCGGAGAGTCGTGCCAGATTATTCGTATTTCAATGTACATATTTACTTGGAGTAAATACAACACTATATACACACACAAAATGTCTCTGCATATGTATATATATATACATATATAATGTATATCCTATATTATATAGGTATCTGCATATATATACATATACACAAGCTATTATATATATTCTCATACACATTTGCTGTCCCTTCTTGTAACACGGTATTAAATGCCTGTACTTGCGTTCCTCCGAGAATCTCATTCTCTGTTTCACGATTCCTGGCGAGTCCTGGGCGACTTTTACCCACTGTAAACGGTGCGTTTATCTATTGCAAGGAGATTCATTTATGCTTTTGTTGTTTTTTCTATGAAGACTTTGGTTGCGTTTGCGATTCGGAAGAACCTCGCAGATGTAAGGTAAGATCGCAGGACACGGCTTTCCAAAACGGCAGTTCGTTCTTCGTCCGGACCAGAATGCCGCAGCCTCTTGAACAAGCGGGTTCTCACTCGCCCTACGCGCGATAATCGAAGCAGGAGAGTTATTGGTCCAACAGTGAAATGAATATTTAAATAGAAATTATAATTATTGAAAAGAAAAAGAAGGATAAGTCTACTTTGGCACTTTATTTCCTCATTATGCACTTACCGTTCTCGTTCTTAAAATTCAAAACTTTTGGGTCTCCTCGAAATATGCAAACAATCCAATGCTCGGTACACAAAAGTTCCTGCGACTTTTACAGTGTTAAAATTATGAAAGGGTGGCTATGAGTTGCACTTGGCTTACGTTCTCAAATTCACTGACAGCACTGTGCTTATGGTTGCGTCTTCCTCAATTGCACGCAGCTAAACAGAGACGTCACGATACTCGTATAGTTACCGGATCAATATCGAAGTATCGATATTTGAGATCGATTCAAACCAAACACCATAAGGATTGATGTACCTGAAAATCTAACAATACAAGATCCATCTATGAACAATTTTTTTTGTATGAAAGAAATATTGTAAAAATGAATATAAAAATCTTTTTAGTATAGTACACTTTTTTATATGAGTGCAATAACGTGTTTTCATATTGCACGTTACGCAGTACACAAGACACTACCACGTGGTCACGTGAAAAATGATGGAATTTAACAATTACAAATTTAGGGTATATTCCGTGATTGAAGCAGGAATGCGGCTATTATATTTCAGCCTATTGAAGCGAGTTTACGTAGGTAAGAGAATTTCAAAAATCAATCTAGAAGGGTTAATCTTACCGATTAATCAATTTTCGAAGATATATATTTCGATAGATCGGTCGTGAAAGGTAAGATAATCGATTCTCGAAATAATTAATATTAATCAGGCATTTCTTAATCGTAGTACTTGCATTGAATTTCAGAACGTATCCTTTGTATACGCGTTGGGCCCGGAAACAGCGATGAACGCGGCTAGAGTAAGTATAGGCTATAGTATGATAGTACGAGAAGCTAGAGTCGTCAGCCAGTGACGTAAAATTATGTATGTCGGGACGGCCGAGAACGAAAGAATTCGCATAGTCGGATCATTCCTTTGTGAATAGTCTGTAGTAATATATATTGACGATTCATTTTTTATAAAGTAATGACAAAACCCAAACACGAAATCGTTCATTGCTTTCATTATTACGTTTCTTTAACAAATTAAATATTCCTTTAAAAATTTTGTTTTATAATGATCTTTTAACATTTTGTCCTTTCTACATTATTTTATCCCTATCTCATATCAGTGTCATGTTAATCTTACGTCAGCTTTTTTTATCTTATTGTAAACTATCCTACCATTTTTTTTCCGCTTATTGAACAAAAATATCGTTTGCAACACGCGAGAAAGACTATTTCCACTTGTGTGATTGCCATTCTCGTTCCGCTCGGGTGGCAACCTCGACACTCGTCGAAATCCTCTGTTTTCTTCCCCAGTTGTACAATGTACTATGATATTCCATGAATCCCAAGTACGAAAATCATCGTACAATCCAACGAGCCATCGTAGAGGTTCGACGAGGTTCAATATACTTCTTGTCGTACAAATATGTTGTGCTATTTTCCAGCGACTAACCTATTATCGCAGTAGCGTTGTCCATCGATCGGGTCGTAAAACTTTCCTGCAGGTAATCTTGAAAATTCTTTGAACTGCAATTCGAGAGGCATATATTTACCATTAACAATAATTTTAGTCCTTCCAGTTAGGTGCGAAAATAGCCTCTACATATTGTCAAGGTAATTTGTCCACGTTGCCCGGGAATATCCAGAACTTAGCTTCAGTCGAGCTCGAGCCTTGATGAAAAACGCATTCTATATCATACGCTGAGAAAAATCGTAATATAGTATATTGCCATGGCGGAAGAGAAGAATTTTGTTCTGACGTTTCTGAAAATGTCAGAATCGTTTTATTCAGTGTTTATCGGGATACTAAAGTGGCGCGGACAAACTTACCCTATATCCTCAATATTGCTACAGATACTTGGGGCAATAGGAATTCTGTATTTTATCGTTAACGATTATAAGATCATTTTCCAAAACGATATTTTAAATATCATACTTAAAACTCTTCTGCGCTTTAATGTATTTCTCCTCGTGCTGTGGACCTATTTTGGAGGACTGTACCAACATTCAAGAACAGCATCCATAGTGGATGACCTCTGGAAGATTACGAGAAGATTTGAACAACTTGGAATTCGTCTACCCTGTCTTCAATTAATTTTTTATCAAATTGCGGAATTTTTCCTCATTGCCATAAATATTTACTTTGTAACCAAAGTCAACTTGCTGAAATCACATGATCCATTATGGTGGCTCGATTGGATCTGTGCAGTTTGGATGAGAACGTCATTAATAATATGCTTTACTTCATTCACCAAATATGTTCACCTGATTTTATTGCAATTCAGAGAAGTCAACGCCATCTGCCGCCGCCTTGAGAACCCTGCATACTCAGTGTCGCAACAAATATTGGTTATCTTGAATATACGGGAACAGCATATGGCCATTTCGAACGCCACAAGGAAAATTTTAAACTTCTACCAACATTACCTTTTCCTGTATTCCACTTGGTCTGTTCTAGGAATTGTATATTATGTCTCCGTAATTAACATGTACCTTGAAACACAGAATGACGAGTTTTATATAGTGTGGTACTCTGCCAGTACAATTCTTATGATTATCGGGCTGATTTTATTTATGATCAATATGTGCACCGTGGCAGCTACTGAGGTGAGTTACTTTAAGGTAGTAGGCCCAGTCATCGACACTACTAATTGTTGATACCCTAACGGCCATACAATGCGTGCGAAATAAAGGAAAATATAATTTCTTATGAATTAAAACGACCGATCAAATGTCGATATTTGGACCTACTACCTTAGAAGACGTATACGTATAAACTATGGCAATAAATTTGTACTTCTAGGGTAACTATACGAGGAATATGATATATGATATGACGTCTGATAAGCATAACTTGGGCTTACGCGTTGAGGTATACAGCTTTTTTGAATACCTTGAAAGACAAAAAATTGAGTTTAGATTATATGGTACTATCGGACTTAACAACAGCTCCCTCTTATACGTAAGTGGACTTAATGTATTATTTACATGGTATTATACTTAAGTGTTACTTTCAATTAGTCAAATGTTTGAAACCCACGACTTCCGGTAAGTTTAATTTCTTCTTCATGCCCACTCTGCCCTATGCGCATGCCTTAGCGAAGGAAGCCATGAAGGGGGGGGGGGCTTAAACTATAATAAAAATCAGATTTCTATTAAATTAACAAAAGAATTTAACTGATGTTAACTTATTGGAAGTTATACTGTATGTCGTACTGTATGTCGAAGTTATACTTATGATTTCACACGTAACTTTTTCTTATGCGTGGCGATTACGTATATACATAGCACTTTTGTCAAAGAAATCACAAAAAAATAAAACGTCACTTACACCCTATTAATTTTAGTCACGCGATATGTATTTAGTTCGTTCACGAGTAAACTATATTTTGGATTAAAATTAAAAATTCAATGAAACTTACGTTTTGCTTGTAAATTGGCTATAATATGTACGCAAATAAAAGACCCTGTACTGTAACAATATTTTAATTCCTTTTATTTCAGGCTTACGTCGCTGCGATTTCTTACTGGAGAATAATGACAAAATTAAATTGAACCAGAGTAAGAAACTTTTCCTTAAGTCAAATGTTTCTTGAACTTTGTTTAACAATATTTTATTTGTCTAATAATAATATTTCGTAGCACGTAGCAAGAGCACGAAGGCTACTACCTAACAACGCTAGTCACATGGACGCATGCCAAGGACAAGAACAGTCGTTTCCTTGAGATTATCTAAAGACGTCCATTCAGCCAATAACCTTATTATAATATAAATAGTGACACCCTCATTCTGAGACGTTGCTGATCTCATCATTTTATCAATAACGAGCACATTTCTCCGCCAGGAATATTAATCGAATATTGCTTTTTGACTGTATCAATGTAATGTGACTGCACGAAAAATTCAATTGCAGCTATCGTGCTAATTATCCACGTCAACGTTGCCGTGCTTTTTGAGCTAAAAGAATATGTTAAAATCTTAAGTATTATTTGTACAAAATTTGTACAGATTTAAACAGTTCCTAATTGAAAAGTGAATCTATGATTATGCGGATAGCAGTTTGTCTAGCGCTTTGGAGACTTCCGAAAATATATCATCGACTGAGCCCTCGGCGTTAATCTAAAAATAAGTATATTCAAATCACAATATATTCTCCCACGTATTTATCGTCAAAAGCACAAGAATTGTGGAATAAATAAAACGTAGCCCACCCTGATCACTTTGTCCTTGTAGTGCTCGACGATTTCACCATTCTTTACGTTAAATATTTCAATCCTCTTGTTAATCGTTTCCTCGTTGTCGTCAACTCTCTTAGATACCGCTGCCCTTCCCAGGAGTCTCTTTTTCAGCGTCTCGTTTTTCACGTCAAAGAAAATAATTAAATCCACTGGAGCCACCTGGGCAAACAGAAGACGATGTATACGTTGAGTGACTATACTATACGATTATTACTGAAAAATCATTATATCAGTAAGTATTTGCCGGTGGACTTACGTCTTTTTCAAATTGTAAACCTTGATTCAATTCTCTCGGATAACCATCAATGAGAAAACCAGTTTTCGTCGAACCATCTTCACGAGCTTTGTTCATCTTTTCCTTAATGAGGTCCAGTACTACATCCTAAAATGAGGTTATAAAGAAATGTTTAACACTGTAAAATAGCACATAAGTATACATATAAATGTATTAGGTACATTACAGTTGGTACGAAAAGACCCTTAGACATAAGTTCCTGAAGAGAACTTCCTCTTTGACTACCACTGGCAACTTCATCTCTTAGAAGATCTCCACTGCTCAAATGTAAAAATCCATACTTGGCGATTATACGATCGCATTGCGTCCCCTTGCCACATCCTGGACCGCCGATAACCCAAACAGTCTTCATATCTCCTTGAACTTCCGCTTCCAGTTCTTTTGCAACTATCGGTCTAACAGTACACGCACTTATCGCTGCTGTGTAAATGGTATCCTGGATATCGTCTATGTTGGACTACATGAAAAAAATTATCATTAGTACAGTATGGAATACGAAAAATCTACATACACGATACAATAAAATGTAACGTGAAACTTCCGTGAAAGCATGTAATAATTACGCGGGAAAATTCAAATAGTTGTCTACACTGTTAGAAGTGATACATAGCACAGCGCCATGGACGATGTATTTGAAAATGAAAACGGTCAACTTTTATACGTTACACAGTCCCTACTCAGATTTCAGTATTGACAAGTAATTACCTCACTTCATACAATTTTTCTAAAGAACATAAACTCTCACAAAGTACACAAAACACGCAGTTACGCAAGCACCCTGTCATCAGATTGACAACATCGAAAATTGGGTGGAGTTTGGTGTGTACATAAATTCGAATGAATCGATCCGCGCCGAGAGGTAATGGCTGCCTGCGCGCATGCGCACTCGGTCAAGATTCTAAGCTCTTGCATGTTCCTATTAGAACAGAGATTGGCTCACCACTTTCTTTACTTACCTTGAATTCATTCACAAACAATTTCGCCTTAAGGTTGCCTCTGACATTTACCGAAATCAACCGTACAATTCACGCGTGTGCTACATTCGTGCCGTGCAAATGCTAACGTTTTCAAAGGTGCCGAGATGTTTGCGTAGAACTGTTAACCCTCTTTCGTTATTTCAAGCGACGCTAGGACTCACCTTGTCAAAGCAGTTTTCACTATTGGACTGCGTCGATGACTTCGGTAATCCGACAACCAAACCACTTGAAACGAGCAGCAGAATCCAGTATTTCCGATACACTTTGTACGAGGCGTCCTAAGCGGATGTAATTCGGGAAGCCAATGTTGATCAGAGCTTTTGGCTCACGCTCGGCAGCTGCGATTCTATATAATAGAGAGCCGTATCCTAGCAGCAGGCATGCATGTACATTTGCCTGGGTGTGAGGGTCCTCTTATAGTTGTCATGGTTACTAGCGTTTATAAATAAGCGCTTTGCAAACGTTAGATGCCCGGACGCTCAGTGGCGCGACGGTACGTGCGATCCCAGTGAGCAAATGCAAAAATTCTTTTGGAATCGGAAAATGAATGACAGAAATACTGCTCGCAATGTATATTGATAATATTTTATGTTAAATTGGAATGCTCACTCCGAAGTAACCTATCGTACTCTTGGTATGTCTTTTACTTATTTTTTTTTGTCTAACAGTAAAAGTTAGCTGCATGTAATGTTCTTAAAATTTTCCAATACTCAGTGCCGCTATTCCAATATTAAATCTGCTTGGCCGGGTTCTAAGCATAAAGTAGAATGTACAGTTTGACGATTCTTTGTTGACATTTCAATAATGCTAATGTCACTCTTGTATGAGTTGCCAATCGAATGAACCTCCGTTATTAAATTATGATAAGTTCTGAAAGATATTCTTCTTTGGAAAATCATAATAAAAAGGCATGCGACAGGCGTGATTTATTCATTTGTTCTAAAAGTCTTTCAGGATTCTGTATCACGACGCACGTCTATAGAAATGCATATACAAATATTAAAAAAAATCAAAATAAAATAAATTCTGTACTATTGTATAGTCACATAAAATCACATCTATCGATGCGCTTGTACCAACAATTCATTTCATACGCGTCAGTTAAATCGAAAGAATACTTCGCATTATTAATAATCGCCAAGAAGAAATTTTCGAAAAATTATCATAACAACTCAGTCGATACATCATGTAAGAAACTAGAAGTAAAGAATACTCAAGAGGCTCCAAGTCAAAATAAACACTTGAAAAAACACCTATACAAGTATCTTGTCAATTTATTCATTTTTCAAATCCAATTTTATTTCGCGCTCCAAAGGAGTACGAACCCTCAATGAGCAGACAGTAATAGCTAACGTTCTTTGACCGTCCGATACGTTATTGGGTCAGACTACTGGTCGAGCGTGAGAAATACGTCATTCAAACGTATTACATCATATTCGTTTTTAGGGACTGTTTCACGTTACTGTTGCATAAGCGCAATCGAATTCCTTCTAGCCAATCAGAATAGCCAACGTAAGACTTGTTTCCACGATAAATGTTTGCTGGGAAGTTACAATCTGAGAGGGATGAGCCCTTCGAAGACCAAAGCCGGCTTTATCGCTTTAATCAATTCGAAGCCCAACGGTAAAGCCCCCCCTCCGCCCACCCTCATATAAACTGATAGAGTAAAATCGGAAATGGGCATTTATTATTATAGCATGAGCACTAACGAATTGAGGTTATCTTCAGTATATTCGTTCGAATATCACATTTTTTTATATCGAAATGACTGTTGAAGAATTAATTTCTGGAGATGCGTGATCCGAGCACGGCTGATATAGGTGGCAGCCAGGCGGAATCGTGGGTCGTCGCGGTGGTGGTAAAGTAGCTGGAAGTGGAAGTGGTGTCGGTGGAAGCTCAGTTCTAGACTCAGCTTCTTCCTGCGCGCAAATCCGTAAACAAAGGAAATCGTTTTCTCCTATTTACGTTACTACCGATACTTTCTTCAACTAACAAGTGTGGATTTTGTGCTACAGGTGGAACTTGATTTTTGACACTTTTGTGTACCACGTATATCCATTAGGCTTTGGAAAGGATCTTCGACAGTTCCCGTGCGTGACAACGAGGTGAAGAAAAGAATTATTTCATAATGATGCGCTAACCATAATATCCCGTTGGGTCGCAACAGTATAAAAGTTTATGTGCACGATGCGTGGTGCGGAATAATTGCATAACAGTACACCCGCCCGTTTGATATAAAATAATAATAATGGAAACTCGAGTACGAAAAAAAAATACTAGATACTCAAAAGTGACTGCATAAAAAAAAGTACTGCGAGAGTCAAAGTAATTGTCGAAAAAAAGAATTTTAGAGCGATCACTTTCTTTCGAGAAAATTTTAATTGCATTTCTGCGTATTTATCGTCATCTCGTATCGTCGTCGACCTCGAATGATTATTGCTCACCAGTAAACATTGACTATATATATACGTCCAGCGGACGCTAGTCGAATGAATAAGTTATACTGAGCAAATTGTTTTTGAATCTTAACAATTGTCAATATACCAGTTCATCAAAGATCTCGGTACATGGACGTATGCGATATACCAGATCACATAAGACTGTCTTTGTACCATTGACAGAAATTTTGTATCGCGGAAGAAAAATCAGGATGAGATCAAATTTCGAGCGGGTATCCCGCCGTGCGAGAGCAAGGGAGAGTATAGTTTCCATAAGGCACAAAAGGGGTTGCCGGGAACCCGGCCGTAAAATCGATACAACACATGCGCCCTGCATCCAAGATTCTTCCTAGATTGCGTCTCTATTGCGTTTTGGCCTTATTACCAGCTCAGCGTCCCATATTACTTCTAGACGTTCCGAAACTGCAAAACGTGTACCGGTTCGTGACTTCGCAGTGATCGAATACATTTATTCCACTTGGAATCCATAGGTCGACTTGAAACTGTTTTCCAAGAGGGTAAACGGGAACAAGGAAGTAGAAGACGTAGTGAAGGGGAAAAAAAAAGATTCCGTCATCGCTGCTATTAACGCCGAAACTCAGTGGCCTCCTACGTGGGGACGCTGCGTGACGTTCGTGCATTGAAAACTCCCCAGTGTTTAGCTGAACTAACTACGTTAATACACAATTGCCGTAATCTCTATTTATAGGTATGAAATAACGTGTAGCCTCTGGCCTTAGCGCGGTACTGTCACTTTGACATACGATCGCTTCCTAGCTTGAATATATATGTATATATAGTGAGTGAGAGAGAAAGACGTATCAGCGTTGCGCGTCGGCACGTCTATTTAGACACGCGGGCAACGTGCGGGACACTACCTGTTACCGCGTTTCCATGCAAGATTAGGAAGCTATCAATTGATAATGGCGATTAAATATATCAGCTTGTCAATGAAGATTACATGATTTTCTCATTCATGTGCTGGATTCCGTAATTAATTGAAAAATGATTCTACCAACGTCGTACTTAAGAGGTTGTAAAATTTGGATGGGAATGTCTTGAGAATTATTAATAATTATAGGATAAACTGTGGTGTTGTCTATGAAGAGAAATAAATTAATATTCATGAGGGTAAGAATTCTTTATTTGCAAACAGGAACGAAGAAGACATGGCGGAGAAAGCCGAGGTTACGGAAAACGGTGGAGACGCGACCCCTTCGTCGCCACCATCGAACGAAGTGGCTGGTTTGAAAATAGAGGATGGTGGATCTGCCCCAGGAAGTCCAGCCTCTGGTTCAGGCTCGTTCAATGCTAGCTTCAAGGCTTTCTCGAAGTTTGGCGATCCCAAGAGTGATGGGAAACAGATAACTCTCAGTCAGAGCGACAAGTGGATGAAGCAGGCAAAGGTCATCGATGGTAAGAAAATTACCACAACCGACACGGGGATCTACTTCAAGAAACATAAGTATATACACACTGTACTAGCGTAGACAATGGATAATTATATTTTTGTATAAGTATGGCAATTATGACAAATAAATACTCGATTGATGCAGGTCGATGAAATTGGGTATCGAACAGTACAAAGCATTCATCGAGGATCTCGCCAAAAGTAAACGGGTCGACCTGGATGAGATCAAGAACAAGATGGCCAATTGCGGGGCGCCTGGTCACACCAGTGGCACCTCTGCAGTAAGTAAAAACAAATTTATATATTAGATGAATACGTGATAGATGAATTTTAACTTATATATTCACAACTATATACCCCGTGTACACGGGTACACGGGCTGAACTTTATGATAAATATTATTGAAATATCTGATATCGATGTAAAATTTTACCATGCAGTGTATTGGGTTGCGTCGATTCAAGATTCGTCGTAGATCGAATTATATTATATTACGTTATATTTTGACACACTGTAGGTAAAGTTTATCATCGGCTGACTGATCGAGACAGCATGTGGATCGTCCCTGAGTTTCAGATATAAGCTTTCAGTACTATGAAAATAACGTCATGACGGTCTACTGTGAAATGGCGTCATTTTCACAGTACTGAAAGCTTACGTCTGAATACAGGGCATATTGGATATTAGTCGTGGATCGAGGTATTGACTCTGACATGAAGGTGGGAGTGAGACAACACCTTCCACCTGACGTAACTGCACCGCACGACCTCAGGATTTCACGTTGTAATTAGGTTTATAGGTATTTTGAATTCCAGGCAGATAAATTTTATCATTCTCCGTATAAATTTATTTGCATTACTCACTAGCATACTCATTGGGATATTTGTATGTAACAGGTGAAAGATTGTTACGTTAATATAAAAAAAATACAAATACAAGATATCCCAATTTCACTATTTTCACAGTAATTGTCATCATAATATATTAATATTACGTGTAAATATAGCACACAACTTAATGATGGGGATTCTATACACGTGTTTTCTTTCAGCGGCGTAGAGCTCTAAAATATGAAAATTGATTCCAGGCTGGTAAGGCTGCGTCGACGGTCGACAGGCTGACGGACGTGACTAAATATACGGGATCTCACAAGCAGCGTTTCGATGAGACCGGCAAGGGCAAGGGCATCGCCGGCCGGAAAGACTTGCCTGATCAGTCAGGATATGTGCAGGGCTATCAGAACAAAGATACGTACAAGGCCCATTAACACCGATTACTCGACGTATTCGTTCACATTACACTGTGCTTGGGCCGTCCATGCAGCATGCACAGATAAGCTTTGTTTTTCGAGCTGTACACCATATTCTCTTCTTTTTCATGGCCCGTATTCGTAGTTAGTTATTCGTCTTCAGCGCCATTTTAAGTCAACTGTACTTCGTCTCAAGCACTGATTATGAATACAGGCCTATGTATTATATATGTATATCCTTATGTATATAAGGATATATTGTTATCCTTATATCTGTAGCTCGACCGATCAATTGCGTATGAAGTTAAACCCGCGCACCTCGACATTTTTCTTGGCTGTACTCCTAGCGGTAGAATTTCAAACGAAAGACAATGGTCGACGGACTAATGGGCAGACATATTAAATGGCGCGCAAATACAAATGGATGGAAAGGAGTTCTTGACGTTATCTGATTATCTGATTATCCGTTATCTGATTTCATGCGATTGATAATGACTCGTTTTATTATTTTTTTTTTTTATGAAACCACAAACAAAAGTATACCCTGGCCTCTGCCAATGTCTTTCCAGGCAGCTAGCCTTACGTATATGATATAGTATACACAAATATACATAATGTATTTACATACTCTCCTTTCGCTATTATATATAGAAATAATTTACCTGAAACTCGTATTTCAATAAAGTGTACTTAAAGCAGTGTTCACGTTCGCAATGGGGAATAAGAAATCTAAATTCAGTAGTTGATACAACTTTTACTCAACGTATAATTTGTGACGTGATTTTTCGGATCACGGTCACAAGGCGGCTCCGGTTACCGATACAGATAACGTTCTCGATTTCTGGTTCCCTTCGGGTCGCCACCCTGCTCAGAAACTACGCTCTCGGGTTGATTCGTACAATTATGTCAAGGCTCTCGTAAGATTTCGTTATTGTTCAGTTGAGGTCGAGGTTCCCCGGCTCCCCGCTGGAGATGGGCAAAGGGCTGTAGAGCAGGCGGAGGTAGTTTTGATACGGTTAAGGGCAGGAGAGGAACCTCCTGCCCGAGTTAAGGATGTGGTGCCCAGCTGTCGCCCGATGCCCTGGGGAAGCGGCCGTGGAGGATCTCCAGGTGATACGTACCGATTCGTTAAGGAACGCTCTCGATTTGGTTTAAAGGGACGACTCGAAGGAGATAGAAGAGTTATCGACTATAAGGCTCTCGACCAATCAGAATGATTAGTTCTCGGATTTGGCTATTGTCAATCGACTGCTTTAAAGCAGTCTGTCTCGGGGCACCGACCGAGGTGTCACGGGCTGGCTCGTGCTCCCGTGCTATCTGTTGATAGTTTTTCTTGCCGTGTTTCGCTACGGTATAGCAAGTTCTCGGTTGGTACAGTGCCCGCGTTGTTCTCGCGATATCCAGGCAATTCTATGAATTCCTGTGAGTGTTCCGGAGGTGTAGTGCTGTGCCTTAGTGCAGTGCTCCCCAGAGTGTCCTTTGGATGCAGTTCTCGGCCTCCACGGATTAGCTGCCCCAGCTCCGGTGAGTCTCCCAATTTATTAATTGGTGAAGGGATCTCGATAGATAATTAAGATTCGTTCTGATGCGTTCTCGATTTGTCGCTCTCTGTCTCTCGCACTATTCGCCGGACTCTTACTCCGACCCTCTCTACCTCAAACCTAGCAGCCTGAGCGGCCGTGCATTTCCGTAACCGTCCGCTCCCGTTCGTGTATCCAGTTGCGTTT